GAGACTAGCTGAGGTTGATTGAGTAAGGTCTACTCGATATGATTCACCTAAACATAACCAAGCATCATCACCTAGTAAGTCTCGACTGACTGCCTTGAACACTCCATTCAGAGGTTGCGCAGCACAAACGTTGTTTGTTGGTGAGTGGGTGATACACCCTCCCCTACAGTACAAGTGTTCATAATACTGTTGATAATGCTCTTGGACATCGACTGGACTGCAATTTGCTAATCGCCTACAGAGGATGGGAGTTACTGGACTGCTGGTGTGAATCACTGCCTACAATAACTGACTGGACTGCTGGTGTCGAGCAACACTGCCTTCAGGAAGGGACTGGACTGCAAGTGTAGAAGAACACTGCCTACAGTAATGAACTGGACCACTAGTGTGAAGAACACTGCCTACAGTTGTTGACTAATGGTGATACAACACACACATTGAGAGTTGTTGCAAGAGCACTGCTATTGCAATGGTACATAACTGAGTAAGTATAGAGTAAGTAAGTTGAGTTCAGAGTGGATACTGATCCACTTGTATGCTATGGTAGAATGAGAGTATTTATACATCTGGTAAGTGTTTTCCCTCAACACCTATCCTGCTCCTCTTGAGGGGCCTTTGTCCCCTGTTAGGCACTGCCTTGCCCTGCTGGCATCAACCCCTTCGATACTGCACTCCTACTGTTTGCTTGGCATAAGGGTTATGCAACACTGCCCTCTCACCTACATGCTCTCCTTCTGTCTGATGTGTGATGCCCCCTTTTGGCACAGCCCCCTTTTGACTTAATCTTGTGAATTCCCTTTTGAACCTCATGACCATACCCCCTGGTCATGTGGTCACATCGGCACAGTTCTGTCTTGACTTGTTCAGATCAGCCGACTAGTTGAAGCATGCTGATCTGACTGATTCCAACATCAGCACAGCTCTGAATACCTGTTCGGATCGGCCAATTAGTTGAGGCGTGCTGATCTGACTGACTCTGACATTGGCACAGCTCCAAGTACTCGTTCGGATCAGCTGACTAGTTGAAGTGTGCTGGTCCAGCTGACTCTGACCAATCCCATGAGATCGATCTGGATTCCTGGGGTTTGATCAATCTTGTAATTCATGTGCACTGCCAACCCAATTAATCTTGTTGATCCCCAATGGTTTTTGACTCTGATCAATCTGGTGCACCCTTCATATGTTGATCTTCTGCACACCCTTCATATACTGCTCTGTTACGCGACATTACCATAACTGCTGCTGATCATTTGGCACACTCTCTTGCGCAGGCCAGCCGTCCCTGTGACATGGCTCTTGCGACATATTTCCCCTATAAACCAATCCAACTTCCTTTGTGCCTTCGAGATAGCATAGGACCTGTTGTGCTGCCTGATAATGCTCCTGTGATGGTTCATGCATGTGTTTAGTGAGGATGCCCACTGTGAGGCTAAGGTCGGGCTGGGTGCTGTTGGCAACCCAGAGCAGCTTGCCAACGATCACCAGATACTCCTTCTGTTGTGCTGTGCTTGCAACAAGGGTTCCCTCTGGTATGCTCTGCATTGGAACCATGGTTGGCTTGGTGCATTTGTCCAGGTGCTTAGCCAGCACTTGGTCAATGTACCCTGACTGACCAATTGTCATGGTGTGCATCACACAGTTTCGACTGATTTTGATGCCGAGGAAGTGAGAGACCTCACCACTATCCTCCATCTTCCATCTCTGACCAATCTGCTTCTTAACCTTTAGGACTGTTTCCAGCTGTGGTGCTATGACTAATGTATCATCGAGGTAGATGACCACAATGGCCATATCTTTGCCCTGTCCCTTGGTGTAGATGCAGGGAGTGCACTCTACCTGGAAGAATCCCATGCATCACAAAGACCTGTCGAACTCCTGGTTCCATTCTCGCCCAGACTGCTTTAGGCCATACAGGCCCTTGACCACTTTGTATACCTGTCTGGGTGCTACTCCTGATCCCTCCGGTGGTTTCATATAGATCACTTCTTTTAACCTGGAGTTTAAGTAGGCCATCATGATATCCAGTGCATGCACCTCCAGACGTTCTGTACTGCTAGCGCTAGGATAGCTCTGATTGCTCCGAGGGGCACTATGTCATGGGCCTGGATGCTCAAGAAGCAGGAGGGTCACAGGTTCAACAGGTATTGAAGATCTAGTCGAGATCAGTAGAGAGCATGGTTGTAGTGCAGTCTCCATGGAGACCATGGACTCCTATGGACTCACATGCAAAGGAGGGCCAAGCACAGCCATGAGGAGGACCAAGCTCAAGGAGCAGGCACAGCCACGAAGAGGACCAAGCTCAAGGAGCATGCAGATGGTTACCACTCAGGGGCTCAAGAGACAAGAGCCAAAGGAACTGTCACTGATCAAAGGAGAAGGAGCAGTGTCAAAGGAGTTGACACCAGGTCATGAGGAGGAGGAGCAGTGTCAAAGGAGTTGACACCAGGTCATGAGGAGGAGGAGCAGTGTCAAAGGAGTTGACACCAGGTCATGAGGAGGAGGAGCAGTGTCAAAGGAGTCGACACCACTCAAGAGGCACAGGGGTGCCAAGCAGGAGAGGCCCCTGAGCAGTACTCGATGAAGAGGGTACTCTCTGGAGAGAGAGCAGGAGCAGCATCGCTGGTGATGCTGTGAAGAGGTATATAACCATGCTTTCTCATCATCATAGGTCGAGTGGATCCTCATCCACTCTACTCACCATACAACTAGTCAATACTTTAGAAACACAAGTACTCATTAGTTACAGTCAGCATAGCAGCAATCTATCAAGGTTGCTCCTCATCGTAGTGTGTGTGTTGTGTCATGGGCCTGGATGCTCAAGAAGCAGGAGGGTCATGGGTTCATATGGAAGGAGCACAGGTATCGAAGATCTAGTCGAGATCAGTAGAGAGCAGGGTCGTAGTGCAGTCTCCATGGAGACCATGGACTCCTATGGACTCATATGCAAAGGAGGGCCAAGCACAGCCACGAGGAGGACCAAGCTCAAGGAGCAGGCACAGCCACGAAGAGGACCAAGCTCCAAGGAGTATGCAGATGGTTACCACTCAGGGGCTTGAGAGACAAGAGCCAAAGGAACTGTCACTGATCAAAGGAGAAGGAGCAGTGTCAAAGGAGTTGACACCAGGTCATGAGGAGGAGGAGCAGTGTCGAAGGAGTCGACACAACTCAAGAGGCACAGGGGTGCCAAGCAGGAGAGGCCCCTGAGCAGTACTCGATGAAGAAGGTACTCTCTGGAGAGAGAGCAGGAGCAGCATCGCTGGCAATGCTGAGTAGAGGTATATAACCATGCCTTCTCATCATCATAGGTCGAGTGGATCCTCATCCACTCTACTCACCATACAACTAGTCAATACTTTAGAAACACAAGTACTCATTAGTTACAGTCAGCATAGCAGCAATCTATCAAGGTTGCTCCTCATCATAGTGTGTGTGTTGTATCACCACTACCTGACGTCCGAAGGTGCCCATAGCAGGTTAGTGGTCCGGATATAGATAGAACCAAAGGCAGTAGTCCACTGTGGTCCGGGGATCACTTCAAGCATCAAGTCAACACACTGGACACTCGTGTTGACGCCACCAACCTTATCACCAACACCATCAACCTCATTATCATCGACATCACCAATCTCATCACCAACACCATCAACCTCATCATCATCAACACTCACACCAGACCTTGGTGTCATCATAACATTGATATTGATCATGCCGAGCTACCCCTGAACGGAGTGTCCACAGAGGTCAGCCAAAACCTACGATAGTATATACCATGAACGCCACCAGCTGTCACTGCACAATTTGATAGTCACCGATACCGAGACAATAGCTGTCACACAGTTTGATAGTCACCGAGTATCTCGACAGACCGACCTGGGTTTCAGGCACGAGACCCCTGACATGTTGTATCACCACTACCTGATGTCCGAAGGCGCCCATAGCAGGTTAGCGGTCCGGATATAGATAGAACCGAAGGCAGTAGTCCACTGCGGTCCGGGGATCACTTCAAGCATCAAGTCAACACACTGGACACTCGTGTTGACACCACCAACCTTATCACCAACACCATCAACCTCATTATCATCAACATCACCAATCTCATCACCAACACCATCAACCTCATCATCATCAACACTCACACCAGACCTTGGTGTCATCATAACATTGATATTGATCGTGCCGAGCTACCCCTGAATGGAGTGTCCACAGAGGTCAGCCGAAACCTATGATAGTATATCCAACGAATGCCACCTGCTGTCACTGCACAACTTGATAGTCACCGATACCAAGACAATAGCTGTCGCACAGTTTGATAGTCACCAAGTATCTCGACAGACCGACCTGGGTTTCAGGCGCGAGACCCCTGACAACAGGTTAGTAAAGATCCAGCACAGCATTGGAAGCTTAAGCACATCGACACCAAGTACCACTTTGTCCATAACAATGTCCAAGAGGGAAGGGTGCAGATCAAGTATGTGGACACCACAAGAAATCTGGCAGATGTACTCACAAAGCCAATTGGGAGACAGGCAATGCAGCAAGCAAGATCTGGGCTACACCTGCAAATACTGGCAGCAGCATACAAAACAGAGTCCCCAAGCTATGCAACAGTGTTGAAGAATGGAGGACATACCTTGAAACAACAGCATAATGAACAGGGTACATATGCTGTTGAGGGGGGGAGTTGAAGTAGATGAAGCTACACAAAGCATAGAGACTGCAGAGGTAGTGCTTACAGCTGAGTAAAAGGTTTGAGCAACCAAGCATGGGCCACATGTGTCACAACCTACTCAAGACAAATGCTTTGTTTTGCTCTGCAGTTGATGTGGCTCTCTGCCACTCCTCTTTTGTATATATATAGACTCCTTTTTCACTTCTCGCTCTCTCTCTCTCCCATTATCATCATCAAATCATACGAAAACTCCAACTGTTTCTTGCTCACTCTCACAAACAGGCTCGATCTGAATTATCCGGATTAAAATTGCAAATTTGTGAGATCTAATTCAACTCGCATCTCTCCGCTCCTCCTCCTCGTCCGCTGTTGCTTTTCGCTTGTGTTGCAAACGCTTCGCAGCCAAAGCTTGATTCCGGCGAGACTTGGCAAACATAGTCCTCTGAGCAGTAAACTTGGCTTGCGATTTAGCTATTTCCTCCACCAGCATACTCAACGCCGCGAGCGAGTTCGGATCCCACGAATCAGCGCCAAGATCTTTCGCAAGTGACCCCTTGTTGTTGGTCAGCTCGCAAGAGACTCGCGCATGAACAGCTGCAGAGAGAGCGGTGGAGGCGAGAGTCGAACGAACGTGTGTCGCTTGTGCCTCGTCCCTTTTTTCAAATCCCAAATCCCGTGCTGGCGGTGGAGATGAGGGGGAAGCGGGGGCCCATTCGTACTCATCCTCCACCTCCTCCTCCACCTCCTCCTCCTGCGGCTGGTTGATAACGTCGTCGACAATGCCGGTTGTGGCGGTTGCTTCGGTCTCGGAAGCAAATTTCGATGTTGGTGATGGATCAATAAGGCTGTGCAAATCTCGGTAGAGTTGAGTCCAACGTGGATCGTCAGCAGGTGCATCGGCTAGATCGGATCCGAACAATGCTTGCTCGACCAAATCCTGTGCTGCTGGTGGAAGATGCTTGTGGTAACCGGGTAGGATACGGGTTGTGAAGGATTTGGTTTCTGCATTTCCTCTCTCCTTTCCGGCACCCTTGCCCGAGCTCCCTTGTGATATACTGCCGGTGGCGTTCTGCTTCCGCTTCTTGCCCGGTTTCGGAGCCCAAGTTGGTTCTTGTGTTCGTCTGGTCTTGGAACCAGGGGGCCGACCTCTGGTCCTTGTCCCATCTTGTTGTTTTTGTTGCTGCTGTGTCGCCATTGCTGTATCCTTGTTTTGCTTGCACCTGCGTTTGTGATTGCGTTTTATTGTGATTGCGTTTTATTGTGGGATCGGCCCAGTCTGCTGCTGCAAAACCCTCTGCAACAATCTCGTCAAAACCTCAGCTCTCTGTCCGGCACCCAAAGTGATAAACACCTCTGCAACACTCTTTCCCTTTGCGTCTCTAATCCTACCCAATTGACTACCCGCAAAAGCACCGGCCAAAGCACCGGGCACGTTACCAACAATGAACCCTAACGCTGAGCCCGATGCACCACCGATCCACTTCCAAAAGGGAGCGACCCGATTCACCTCCGGTCTGAGCAGCTCCTCGAAAACGTTGGCGAATACTCCGTCTGCCTCGGGCTGACTGCTTCCCTGTCTACCCCTGCCCTCTTGCTGAGCTCCGTCGGCGGAGTTGTCTTGCTGCTTAAACGCACCGGGGAAGAAAGATTGGAAGAAGTTGGCAGAGTAACTCTGCTCCTTTTCGCTGTATTCGGATGCAGTCTCTTCCTCTTCGTCGGGAGAAGAGAAGAAGGAGGAGAAAGAGGGCTGCGAGCTGCGGAGTTGGTCGTACTCGCTTCGACGTTGAGTGTCGGAAAGGACGTAGTAGGCGTCAGCAAGCGTTTGAAACTTTTGCGTGGATCGTTGACGTTCAGCGGGAGTGGCGTTGGGGAAGCGATCAGGATGGGTTTTGAGCGAACGACGCTTGTAGGCCTCCTTGATTTCTGCTGCTGAGGCGGCCGGAGTGACACCTAGCGTTCGATAGTAGTCTGGGAGAGGGATGTCCATGCTCGTATAGCGAAAAGCCTAAGGATAGAAGATGGTCCTTTCTGGTTTCCATCGAGGGTGGTACGGGATCGATCGATGGTAGCCTCGAGCGGCGTCAAGACGAGAGGAGGTGGCGGCAAAGATCTGCGGATGATCGAGGCACCAAGGAAGGATCAGTCCTGATTACTCGCACACTTTTCAAGAGGGCACGTCTGGAGAGAAAGAGCGCAAGAGAGACGAGAAGCGCCGCACGACCTCACCGACTCAGCAGCAAAACGCCCAACAAGCTCGCAATCTCGCAATCTCGCAAGGGCCCATTTTTTCGAGAATTGCACGTGAGTGCGCTGATTCAGGCTGAGTCACGACCCTTTTTATTTAATCCAGCCTCACGATCATCCATTTTCCCACCAAGCATAACGCATCATCGGGCAGATCTCACCCTGGTCTCGAGTTGCAATCGCGATCTTGGGCATCGTAGGAGACAAACTGCAAACCTCGAATGAGTAGTGAGGTTTCCGTAGCAACGTCCACGCCGCACTCGGCCTCAAAGGTCGCCCTTTTCCATTAGTAGCAGTTGGGCGTTGGCATGTTTTTGAGGGGATGGTAACAAATATTGCTTACTAATGATGAGTGCCCTTTCTCGAGCCGCGGATTGATGAGCTCATGCTTATTAATTGCCGATACTACGTCACGTGGATGGGTTGTTTTTAGTTTTTTTGGAATTGTACAGTCCGAAACCCGAGTTGGAGGTTGACAATGTTGACTCTTCCGAACCACCATCATCTCCACCTCGCCAACCTACTCGCCTAAGAGTTCGTCGTTGCTCGTAGGTAAGTAACCGAAACCTCTCTAGTAATACTGTGTACCATCTAATTTAAGGGCCATTTTGGAAATGGAAGCACAAGATGCAAACAACAACAACAGTGAGGCAAATTCAAAGAATTCAAACTTGAGCCTTCCATTCGGCCCCGGCAAACGATTCGAGCTGCAGCCGCCGGCACACTTTTTGCACTTGTTTGCACGACCATGCGTCGTACAGCATATGCAAGGCTCGCTGGCATTCACCCTTTCTTGCTATCTTTGCTGGCATCGCAACAGAGAATACCGCAGTCCGCATGCACGTCCAAGGCCCCACCCGTTCTTTCTTCCACGCTGGTCCGGCAGCTCTCATCAAAGAGCACAAAGAGAGCGAGGGAGGACAACACTACTGTCAGACCAAGTTCTCAATGGACCTCTCCTTTGTTTCATGCCGCCGTACTTTCCGCCGGCTTGTAAGCACCTCTTTCTGCCCTATTGCTCTCGTGCTAGACTGCCTCTTCTATGTGTGTTTCGTCCTCGCGTTTCCGAAGTGTTAGGATCAACATGCGCATGAATGCGTCGAACAGTCTTTGCTGGCTGTTGCTGTTTTCGAGATCATCATGATCAAAAACATGATGCCGCCGATGCGCTTGCAAACGCCAGTTTACAACAGTGCACGGCCGCCGGCTGGCTGGTCTCTTGCGCACCCTCGCTTTCAGCCCTGAACCTCGGCGCGATGTCTGTTGCAAACTCTCTCTGTCCTTCCGCTCTCGCGCTTGCTGCGGAGCTGAACACTATGATGAGCCAGCTGCTGATGCAGAGCTAGCTGGTGATGCAGAGCTAGCTGCTGATGCAGTTGCTGCAAGATGTTTCTTCTGTCCTACTCGGCTGACTTGATCGCAATTGCCTGCCTGCATCCAGAGTGCTTTCTGTATCTTTGTTGTGTCTTCCCCCTGAACCGGCGTGTTCAATGCTTGTAATGTCTGCCACTGCTCTTGCTTCGGTTTGGCTTGTCATCAGCACCGCTTTCCTGCCACTTTGCCGCCGGTTTTGTGCCTCAGAACAGCCTCTGCCAGCTATTCCTGTATTGGCTTTCAGCTTTGATCCATCTCCGCCCCTCAAACACCTTCTCGCCCCCGCTTTGCTCAAAAGCCAATCAACTTTCTATTGCTAGCAGCTCTTCCTTGCCCACCAACACCCAAGACCAACGATCTCTCTCCTTCTCTACTAACACCTTTGCCAATCTCTTGGCCAAAGATGTTCTTCTCCAAGACAGTATCGTCCGTTTTTGGCGCAACGGTCCTCGCCGCCGCCGCTGCCTCCGCCCAGTCCGTTCCCGCCTTCACCTACGGCACCGCCAACGCCGACTATTCTGGTGTCAAGTCGACCAACCGAAACGGTGCCACGAACCCTTCGACTCCTGAGCTCAACACTCCCATCAACCAGACCTCGGTCTCGCGTCTCGCATCCATCAACTCGATCGATGACTGGTGCACTTTCGGCCCTCCTGGCACTGGCCAGCCTCTGGCCGACGTAGAAGAGATCACCGTCGCTTACTGCACCAAGCCGCGTAACAACGCTCGTATCATCCCAGACGGCACTGTCACAGGTGCTCACTTTGTCAAGACTCCCCTCTACGTCCAGCTCATGGCCAGCGGTGACTTTACCTCGATCGGCTTCATGGCAGGCGACGAAGGTGGAGAGCTCGACCCTCACGGAGCCACCAACATGGGTAACCCGGTCGGTGGTAACGTCACCTCCAACGTCTCCGGCCAAGACGTCTTCTACGAGGAGTGGATGAACTATGCCTCTGCCGACCAGGTTTGCTTCCGAGTCTGCATCGCTGGTAGCGAACAAGCTCCCACCGCTCTGGAATGTCAACACACTCTGGATGTGATGGGATGCAACTTTATCATGCCAGGCAACTACGATGACAACGTTTTCGAGACCTGCGATGGTGATTCTGCTTACCCACCTGGTCTTTACCCCGAGGGCAACGGTCAGACTAGCACTTTCGTCCAGTTCTTCACCGGTGTATACTCGGCCAACGGTGTCACTTACAGCTACACCAATGGTTCGCCGGATCAAGTTACCCCGACTGCCGCTTACTCCACTCCGAGCACTAGCAACTGTCAGACTACTTCGACCATCAGCAACGGTATCAAGTCCTTGGTTGCCTCTCACACTGCCTCGTCCAGCAGCGCAGGCAAGGCCAGCAAGGCTAGCAAGTCGAGCAGCGCTGGACCTTCTGCCTCGGCCGGCTCCTCGTCTGGATCTAGCTCCGGTTCGTCGGGCTCTTCGGGCTCGAGCAACTCGGCAGCTACTACAAGCAGCGGAGCTAGCAAGATCGGCACCAACGCTTCTGCCGCTGTCGTTGCGCTTGCCGTTGTCGTTGCTGGCGCTATGATGCTCTAAGCAGCATTGCACCGCTTCACTTTATTCGTTCTGACTATACACATTTCCCATTGCGCTTTGCTTCTGGAATCATGATTTGCACACCTTTGTCAACGCTGTATAAATGTGGTAGCCTATTGAGTAAAGCATCTCACCACTGGGCCTGATGTCGAGCGAATCAGATGTCACCGAGAGAGGACACGTTGGCCTGCTCTGCTTGACAGGCGCTTTTGTGCAAGTTTAGACGTTCTGTGTTGCACCCGATCTCTGGTGAGATCAGCACGGCTCGATCTCTGATCAGATCGGTCATCTAATCGGATCGGCTCTGCCTGATCTCCGATCGGATCGGCTCTGCGTCATCCTCTATCATCGCACTGGATCGTGATCTTGAGCAGCTTTGAGTGGAAATCTTTGTTCGGATATCGGGTTGAGCTTGTAACTGCTCTCTCTACATTTTCTACCTTGCTTCCAGCGATTCACTGCCCTCCTCCGAGCTGGATGCCTTTGTCTAAACCGCCTCTGAGACAGCGGTAAGACCTTGTATCCCAGCGACACCACTGGAGGCGAGCGGCGGCGGGGGAGAGAAAAGGGAAAGTGCATCGCTTGGCACCCATGACAATCATGATCGTGACAATAGCCAACCTCAGAGTCCCCTCAAACTCGTCCCTCGGTCGTCTCAGCATCGGATTACAGAGCACCACATCACAAAGGCCACTAGCCTCGTCTCTTGCAAAACTCACATTGAGAGCACGACTGTTCAGCAGAACATGCTCCGCCACAGCACCGGCTTCGGCACCACAAGCCTACGTCTCACTCTCCACCAATCCCTGGTTCAACCTTGCATTCGAAGACCACCTATTCCGCACGATCGACCCTTCCACCCCGATATGTTTCCTCTACCGCAACTCACCATGCGTTGTAGTTGGTCGCAACCAGAATCCATGGAAAGAGCTCAACGCTTCCGCGATGCGCTCGATCGGCCTACCCATGGTACGTCGCCGTTCGGGTGGTGGAACAGTATACCACGATCTCGGCAACACCAACTACTCATTCCATATTGCTCGTGAAGCATTTGATCGACGAACCCATGCCGAGCTGGTTGCTCGTGCTCTCAACTCTCCGCCAACTGGGCTGCAGCTGAGTCGTAGTGATTTGGCACGAACGGATGTGGGAGCTTATGTCAATGGGAGGAATGATATTTGCATTCGTGTTAAGCAAGGGTATGATAGCAAATCGACCAACAAGACGTTTGAGGAGGCAGATGAGAAGGGCTATGAAGAGAGGAAAGTCTCGGGCAGTGCGTACAAGTTGGTCAATAAGAGAGCCTATCATCATGGAACGATGCTCCTCTCGGCAAGTCTGGGGAGTTTAGGTAGCTCACTGAGAAACGATAGAGGAGAGTTGCTGGTGACAAAAGGAGTAGCATCCGTGCCTGCACCTGTGGCAAACTTGAGCGATGCTTTCCCCGATCGAAAAGCGATGCTCAGCCACGATATGTTTGTCCAAGCTGTTGTCGACGAGTTCCACCGCACCTGCCCTTCCTCCTGCGAAAGCAAGGAAAAGGTAGTGCAAGTAGACGAATCATCACTCGACCGTCTCGATCTGAACCAAGGCCGATGGAAGCTAGCCGAAAACATGTCAGAACTTCAAAGCTGGCAATGGCTATTCGGTCAAACGCCTGAATTCACCCATCGAGTCTCGCTCGACGCTAGCGACACACAAGCTCGGGCAGCGTTTTCGATCGAGATGCACTGCAAAGAGGGGATTGTACTCGAGGCAAAGCTGGTAGAAGCAAGCTTCGAGGATGCTACAATCGAAAGAGAAGTTCGTGGGATGGTGCAAGGACTGCAGGGGAGGAGATATGATGAGCTAGCCTTGCCACCGCCTTGGGGACCCAGCTCTGAGCTTAGCCTCCAACACCAAGGTGCCTCGCCGAAAGGAGGCTCGAGCGTACAAGACAAGCTGTTGGCATCCTTGCGCACTGTTCTGTAGACAAGGTCATCATCCCACTCCCGATCGATCGGGTGGAGAGGTGTGTGCTTTGAGATGAGACTTGAGATCTCTGCTGAAACCAACGCTTTTGCAATCGCGCCCTGTTTTTGCCATTCGTTCTCACGCACGGACCTTCGTTTCTAAGCCCACTCTTCGGCTTGCTTCCGATTCCGATCCTAGACAGTCATCGCTCGGAGCTTCCGACGATCGGGCAAAGGAGGCGTGGGAGATTCGGCATCGTGACTAGAGCGATAAGCTTCGAGACGGCGGCGTACCAGTGTGACTTTTGAGAGGCAACTCGCTCCCTCACCAAATTTCAGCGAGAAAAAAATATAAAAAAATAAAAAAAATAAAAAATAAAAAAAATAAAAAAAAGAGCTGCTGAAATGCCCCACACGGAGACACACGCGGTCAACTGCCTCTCCCCCTATCGCCACAGCTCAGCATCGTTCACTCAACACCATTCACTCAACACCATTCAACACCATCTTTACCTCTCTCCTATCCACCATCAGTCCCTTTCTCGACGTTCCTTACAGCATACCTTTCCTTAGCAACAACCACGAACCCGGAAGCTGGCTCTTCGGTTCAACTCTCTGCACTGCCGGTCACGCTTGCCCAGTGACCTTGGTCTCAACTATCCTTTCCACTAGTATACCACATACACTCTATTGCAAATCCTGCGATAGCATTACACCTCAGCTTGGCTCAATCGCTTGCCCGCCATGAAAGCGTCGCATCCCACAGCTTTCCTCTTGAAAAAGCGCCAAGCACCCTGTGCAGTATGCACCAACATCGCCCCCTGTCCCGCCTGCCCAAAAGGTCAGCAATGTCAACAGATCTTCCGCACCTCCTGCCAAGACTGTCCCGTCAACAAATGTGTCCCTATTCCAGGCTACGACAACGGTGGAGGCACCAACAAGTCTGCCCTCGGTGGAGGACTTGCTGCGCTTGTTATCATCGCAATAGCAGCAGCGATCGGCTTCGGGTTCTGGCGACGTCTCAAAGCAAAACGTTGTCGTCGTATCGCTCTTCACCAAGATGCCATGCAACGACGTGAAAAGGTCAAGAACGAGAAAGAAGGTGCAACGCTCCAACTCGGAGGAGGAACAAACCCTCCTTGCTCGCCTCACGATCCGAACAATTCTCCTTTTGCGATCGTCGATGCGGATGACTTGGATAACGATACAGAATATACCCAAGTTACTGGCGTGCTCAACGATCAAGATAGACTCGGCTCGCTGGTTGAGCCCACTGCTTTTCGTCGACGCTCGTTTGGTGCAGCTACCCACCTTTCGCGTATTACTGAAGGGATGGAAGAGGAGGAAGAGGAGATCGATGCCGAAGCTGCAGCAAAGAGTGCCAAGAGAAAGACGGCTGCTTCGGTGAGATCCAATGCACATTCGTTGGCAAGTCGCGCAGGTCCACGTGTTAGCTTTGGAAGTGGTATTAGCTTTGGAAGTGGAAACATCATCCCGATCGCTTTCAAGCCTTCTCCATCTTACACTTCCGGTGGTAGTGTTGCAGAAAGCGAGGAGGAGTCGATGGAAGGATACCAACCAGTCTCCTTACTAGCCGTACCTTTGACGGCTCATCGCGCAACAGGAGCACCCGCAATCCAAGTCAACACAGCCCGCACCGGTCCAATCCGTCCCACCCGTGCACCCGATCTCAACCTCAAACTTCCTGAAACACAGAAATATCAACCGACACCCTCTTGGCCACTCGCCACCATCACCAATACCACCGCTGCTACAAAAGAGGCTCGGTACGACTTTATGTCTGTCGATCCCGTCTCTGCTCTCACCGCCTCTGGTCCCTATAGCCGCTCCAACCGTCCTCTGTCGGGGGCGACGATTAACACTATCAATTCGGCCCACTCGAATTCTCTATCGTACGTCATGTCCGCGCCTCAAGTCATCACTCCGGTTAGCGGCGACCGGGTTCGACGAGTACAGTTGGGCAATGGAGGAAAAGCCCAGCTGGTCAAAGTTCCCTCGCTCAAACGCAAAGATAAGTCTCCTGAAGCGCCGAACCGTGAAGACCCGTTTCAAGATCAGGGTGAGGCGGAATTGCTTCCTCCCCCCACCAACCGATTTGGCTCTTCTCCTTCAGGAGAAAGATCTTCAACCATCTCCACCTCGACTTTGGGCATTCCATTCGGCGAAAACCCATTCGGCCAAAGTATACAGCCTCCGGAGAATCAGGCCAGCCCAAGCGATGCAGAGGAGAGAAGCTCCTGGTTGGGTTCATCTACAGACATTGGCGTGACCAAGAGAAGTAGTGATCCCTTCAAGGATCCCACTCGAAAACAGAGCGGGGAGAGCGGGGAGGAGGAGGTGAGAAGAGCGAGTATCGGTGGCTTGAGTTTGTTGGGTCAATTCCCGTTCGACTTTTCCCGGGCGCAACTGCCAGATGATGCTGCGAAACGCGTTGAACAGTATAAGCGATAACTTAGCATTTCCTTATAGCAACGGAGCAAAGCCTTTTTTTTTTTTTCCTGACCATTGTTGGCGTCTGCCTGTAGTGCAACTTTGGCTCACACTATGACATGAACTGGGCAGATCGACTTTCAGCATGCTTGCTCGACATTCAATCACACTACTTGTTCACAGTCTGGTTGCAGAATCAAAGGATAACAGAACGATTCTTCGGTCAACTCGAATACTATTTACAAACATGTCGACTGGACCATCTTGCTCTCTCATTTCAATCGAGCTTGAGTTGATCGGGATTCCTAAGGGTCAACTTGATTCTACTACCCTCCTTAGCTGGCAGTACAACCATTGATTGATAATCTGGATCAGGGAATTTGGACTCCAACTCCCATTTGAACAGTCTTACGAAGGTGGCAAGGATCACACCGATTTGCAGATAGGCAAACTGTTCTCCGATACACCGGTGTCTTCCTGCACCAAAAGGAAGATAAGGCGAGTTGGCACCTGTAGAAATCATTCCGAATCCGAAGTCAGCTTGTTCTTCACCATTATCCTGCATAGCCTTTGCGGTTGCTAGGTCGAGCCAGCGATGCGGGTCGAAGGAGGAGGCGGAGGACCAGAGGAGTGGATCGACTTGAGAAACTCCGGGGGCAGCCATTATGTAGTGTCCTTTTGGAATGACGAGTCCTTCATCAGAGCCTTTCCTGCTAGAGGTGCAGGAAGAGACAGTCGGTGGGACGGCGAGATCGGCTTTTACGTATCGCATAATACTATGCAGAGGAGGGTGCAATCTCAGGGTTTCCTTGACGACAGCATCCAGTAGCGGAACCGAAGTTTTCTGCGTTTCGTAATCCAATTCCCTCAACTTAGCGCCTTCATCGCCATACACCTTGACCTGCTCCTCGTAGAGCTCCTCGATAATCTCGGGCCTGGAGGCCAACCTAAGTAACGCCCATGATCCAGTGGCACTAGACGTATGTTGACCCGCCATCAAAAGTGCGATCATCATATGAGCAATCTCTACGGGGCTCAATTGCCTTCCATTCTTATATCTCTGTTCCATCAATGCTGCGATCATATCATTTTCCCCCTCCTCCTCTTCTGGCCCGTCACCGCCTGTGCGACCAGCGGCACGTCGCTTGGCAACAATATCCTGATAATACTCTGACATCTTCTTCTGCGCTTTATCCCTCTTAAAGTTGGACGGCAGCGGCAGGTTGGGAATGACAAAGTTAATCGGAGTGAAACCTGAGTCCAGATCGTGGTACAACTGGGCGAAACTCTTATCCAATCCCTCTCTAACCTCCTTACCCTGGAGAGTTCGGGATGCAGTGAGGATGATGACTTCAGACATGGCTTGGAAGATATCAACCCGGAAGCTCTTGGCTCCTTTCTGCACCGGTGCAAATCTCGGATCGGTCCTGATGTATTCCTTCACCTCATCCACAATCTGAGGTACGTAAACCCTGAAGTTCTCGACGCTAAGACCGACCTTGACGAATTTCTTCTGCTCCATAAACACCGCATTTGGAACATCGTACACTACTTGCTTACCGAAAACAGGTGTGGTGAGATGCGTGTAGGCGTCTTCTGCGGTAACCTGTTGATGTTTTGCATTGAAAACGAGATTGCTACCTTTGGGACCAAGCGCCACCGTAATTCGACGCCCGAGAAGGACGAAAGTGAATACATCACCGTACTTCTCGCGGCATTCGAAAAAGAACTTGTACGGATCAATACCGTAGTAGATCGCACTACCGATCACGGGGACAAAGTGGAACACGACAGGAGGCAGGTTCTTGGGTTTAGGCAGCAGAAGCTGGCAAGCAACGTTGAAGACGATTGCCAGCAAGGGGATCAAGATGGCAAGGGAGAGGGCCTTGACAGCGGCAGAAGAGTCTGCTAGGGGGGTAAGGGCGAACAGCTGGCCCACTATCGAGCCTGAGCTGCTGTTGGACACCATCTTGACCGTTGGTGTTGATGCTGATCCTAATGGAGCAGAGAGAAGATGGAGATGGAGCAGACAGGAGACAGACGAGTTAGTCGCACAAAACCGTGTCACTTTCCAGTTTGCGTGCGTGTGAAAAAGAAAAAAGAAAAAAAAGAAAAAAAGAAAAAAAAAACACACACACCAGCGCGACTCTCTCGGCCAATAAAACACGAGAAAATCGGATGATGTTGAGTTCTGATTTTCACAGCCAGGCTACTGTACAGTATATCGGCCCATCACCCTGGCTGTATCGGCGATCGATCTTGCTCTAGCCTAAAGACCCTGTCGCCATGATCACTTGGTTTTTACACTCACACCACTCGCAATCGAACCAGACCGATATGATGAACAAAAACATAGCATTGCGTACAAATACAAGCACTCCATATCCCCTTGGATGTGGCCATCACCTCTGTTCACTTCTGCAGGTGGTAATAGTCGCTATCAACAACCTGTTGACCCTGCTGTTGGGGTGTACTCGACTTGTAATGCGCCAAACCCTTCTCAACATCACTCGCACCCACACTTGCCTCTCCTTCCTTCCCCTCCTCCCTTCTTTCCCGCTCGATTCCCAGTGACTCGCCATCCCACATCTCGCTTTCCCAACTCTCCGGTTCCAACCAAACCCATTTCTCCCTCACAACACTCTTGCCCCCCACCACGGGCCAGATTTCGCACAGTGCGACATACACGCCACCTGCAACCAAAAACCCGATCGGATAGGCCAGGATATACATCCTCTCGGCCGCCGTACTTACTTGTGCTCCCAGTACGCCTGCAAAGCCTGTGACTGTCATTGCAATGCCGGCCATGTAGGCGACGAAAGCTCTCAAGTTGAATCCCCAGGTGTAGTGGTACTCGTGGTGTTTGTCCGCGCTGAACATCGAAGGCATGTGTAGGAGGCCGCGTTTGACAATGTAGTAGTCCGCCATCATAGTGCCACTGATGCTCGAGAGGAATAACGAGTAAGCGCTAAGGTAGGTGGCAAAGTTGTTCGAAGAAGAAAGAAGGTTCCAAGGACACATAGCAAACCCTACCGCTGCTGCTACAAGACTCCCTCTTCTGATATTGATAAACCTCGGGCAGGCAGCTGCTAGGTCATGTCCCGCAGAAAGCGAGTTGGCAGCAATGTTGACTCCAATCTGACCAATGATAAAAGCCATAGCGATAAACCAGACTCCAGCCCTTGTCCCTGCATCTCCTGGACTCCTTAATAACCTCTCCCCCAGCAGGTCTACTGGATTCCAAATCAACTCGCCATATATCACCGTGCTGCTACTAGCAATTATGATGCCCAAAAAGCTAGTAATAGAAAAAGTCAAGGGGATGGCGAGGATCTGACTCCACTTGACACTTCTCTTATCCTTTGCCATTCGAGAAAGATCGGGGATGTTTAGAACAAGAGTCGCCATATTGGAAATGCAAGACATAAGCGAGGCCATAAACTGCCATCCAAATGCACTTGCTTTCAACTTGCCCGGCTGACGAATGATCGGACCCAACCCTTTGGCATCTACGATCGACCAAACAAAGAAGGCGATCGCTGCAACAGGTACTACAATACTCTTAAAGTTGAAAAACAACCTGATCTTACTCGGATGAACAACGACCAGGGGTAACGAGACAAGGGAAAAGATAAAGAAGCTGAGGAATTCCTTTGTCGTAAGTCCGGCACTGTCAGGCAACCCATTTGCAATCCTAGCATAGCTAGGAAACATACTCTCCAGAACCAACGTAACACACTGCCCACCAATATACGCTTGCACTCCGTACCACACCGAGGCCATAACAGCTCTCTGTAAGACAGGCCATAAGGCACCCCAAACTCCAAAGGTACTCCTTGCTAGGATGGGAAAACTAATATGATACACCGCACCAATCCTCGCCGTCATGACCACCAAAAATGCAACAGCGAAATAACCTACAATGATAGCCACCCATGCTTGCCACCAGCTTAAACCGGCAGAAACAGCGGTGGAAGCAATCATGAACGTGTTGAGGTTCAGTCCGTCCGAGATCCAGAAGGTGGCAAAGTTGTGCCAGGTCCAAAGGCGACTTGAGGGCGCGACGGGGAGAAGATCTTTGTTGCGAAGCATCGAGTTGGCTAGCGATTCTCCGGGACGCCGTTCCGAGCCCGAAATGCAGGCTTTGGCCATGACGCGTTTGATGAGAGTCATTGTGACAAAGACTTGCCGTGGCAAGGGAGGGGCTGGACGAAGAAGGTCTGTCGGGAAAGGGATACGAAAGGCTATAGATGGATCAAGGGAGGTGCGAAAGGTAGGGGACTACATGGAATGAGGCGGAGCGAGGCTGGGATATATGTATCAAGCATCCAGTGTAGCCTTTCAATGCGTTTGTTCTACTGCCAACATTGAAACAAAGCGAGAGTCGTAAGACAACTCATGCGCAAGGGAGGAGGGGCTTCCTATCACATGGCAAACTGCCAAAGCCACCTTCATCGAAGAACGGCACCTCGAGCGAGATACGGATAAGCGATGAAGAGCAATAACCGAGCTTCCCTTCCCACCCCCACTTCACTTGACAGAGAATCAAGCCAAAACCGTGGGAAGAGGATGCCAGGATGTGCAAGTGTAGCGCTTTGCTTATCTCCCAACCAGACGGTATTGCTATTTGCCTCTGATTGGCTGTCGAAAAGGGCTCATTTGCACTGTGAGACTGCTGATAACGCGCGGGAGGCGGTTAAAGTCAGTTTATCGCTCGATTGCCTTTTTTTATTGGCCCGCAGATTGATTCGGTATGACGGCCGAGTTTCCGTTCGCAGTATGGGTGGCGATAAGTGACATTCTCCTCCTCCTCCTCCGCCGCTCTCCCCGCAAACATACTGAAATGCCAGTTGTGATGGGCAGTTTGTGTCTTGCGATACCGACTCTCTTTCAGCTCTCGGTCGAGATTGCGATCGAGGAAAGCAATACCAGTATGCATGAGCATCACGTTGACGTTGGCTGTGGGTTTCAGATACCCGGCACTTTTCAACATGTTTGCTGCCTTCTCTCTCTAAGCCGTTTCATCAAGCTCTGATGGATGAGGCGAGTTCACTCTGCACACACTAGATGCTTCTGCTTGAGACAAGATCCGCACGTGGCATTACTCCTTCAGGCACCCTCACTATCAACCTTCTTCGCTATCAACCTTCTTCACCATCATCCCAGCGTCCACCCCTAGGACGTTGGCCACATCAACCAGACTCTCCCTTTGCTGTTCAGCATACAGTTCAAAGTAATCCAAAATCCTTCCTCCCACCGCAGCCTCGAATCTCTTCCTTGCTTCCTTCGCGTCCACCGCTCCCTCCTGCTGCTTCTCGCTCTTGCTCGCTGCCGAGGAGGATCGAGGTAGGTTAGACTGGAAAATACCTGCAGCAGAGGCTGGTAGGAAGTCTTCATACGTGATCGGTTCCGCTTCCAATGCCCCCTCTTTTACCATATCTGCCAGTCTTGCACTAGCGCACATCTCCCTCGCCTTCCCCCCATCCCTAACACTAAACATAAAATACCCCAACCCCTCACTCAAGATCATATCCCTGTCATCGGGAAAGCCATCCTCAAACACCTTCTGCAGTATCTCGGCACATTGCTCCTTACCCATCCTCTCCCCTCTCCCTTCCCTCTCTCTTTTCTCCTGTGCAACTTTCGCCATCAACTCGTCATACAGCCTGGCTCCTTTGGGCGTTAGCGACTGCCCCCTTGCCTCGATCTCACCAAACCTGGCCTGATGTCTCCCTTCTTCCTCCCCACGGTCGCCTAAAAACACCACTCGTTCACGTAATGCATGAAAACTAGTCTGTCTCAGATAAATCCCCTCCCTCCTCGCCGGCGGGCCTTCGACGACCTCCTTGGCATCAATACCCTGCAAAATCATGCGTCTCTGCACCGCATCAATATCTAGCGTCCTTGGGGTAAGATGATTAATGTGCGGTCCACGGAAGCTTACAATGTCCGCAACTAGAGGGTGGGTTGCCGACAGAAGTCTGTACTCTTCCATCGAAACAGGTGTGTTCGGGTGCCAGGCGAAAATCTTGACCACCTCCTCTACAAACTCGAGCGCTTCCGAACGGGTTAGGCCCTTGACGCCCATCTCCTGATCATCTTGGTCAGTATCCATGGGCAGTTGCGATTCTGCTTGAAGCAGGAGAGACATGCATCGATCGCTGAGGATTTTTCGCTTACTCAACAGTTGCTCTGTCAGTTGTCTCGTCGTGGTTTCAGAAATGAGATCGATGCGCAGTAGGGAGCAGAAGATCCTGAAGGGATTCTTTTGCAACTCTTCCTTGCGTACCGGTCTGAATGCGGTTGCGTGGATGGGTAATCCTGCGTCAGCCCAAAGATCGTAGTAGCCTACCGCATGCATTCCGAACAGCTTAAAGATCCTGGACAGCAGGCTAAGTTCCTGGGCGTTACCGACGCGGATTGCTCCGTGACGTTCTACGTTCAATCTAGAACTCTCATCATCGCTGATGACATGCGCGTTTGCACCAATAACGTCCGAATTAACGCGGGAGATAATCGATAGAAGATCGCCATAAAGAGGCACTTCAGAACGATACATGGTGCTCATTGAGCTTGCTAGTACCGCCCTCAACTGAGTCGACGTAACATGGTCCGACATTCCAGAACAAGATGAGGAAGCGGAACTGCTGCTATCGTCAGTAGAGCCTAATGCGGGGAATGATTCGGATTGCGACTGAAGAAACCAAGCACCTGGCCTAAAAGTGGGCGACTTACTCAACGCCCCTCCTCCTCCGTCAACTAGAGGATTGCAAGTGGTGGTAGTAGGTGCCATTTTCGACTTGGAGGGAGAAGGAGTGAGAGAAGAGCTCCGTCGACTGCGACCAGACTTAGCTGTAGTAGTAGGTGAAGAGTCCAATGGACCTAGCGTTCGGAGGTAGAGTTGAGCTATGCAATGGTGGACGTTGCAACGATCGCTATCAGTTCTTCGAGGCTTGGAATGCCGTGCTTCTGATGATGTCGAGCGGATGAAGGTGTAGTGTTGGGAAGAGTACATAACAGGCGAAGGCCAGATTCCTACGCAGTACTTGGCTCTGTGCCGGCGCAAAGCAAATGTAAAGGTGTAGACTGAAAGGCGTATGGCCGGGCTGAGGAGGAGGGAGGAGGGAGGAGGGGGGTTTGATATACTCTTCCAGCCTCTCCTCAGACAGTGGGTCCACAACACAAGCCAACATCGCGCTCTTGCCGAAGCCTACCAACACCTCGGAATCGAGGCTTGAGCTTGACTCATCTTGCACCAAAGACACCTTTGTGTCATGTGTTGCAAGCCAAACCTCTAATTACCATATCCACTCAAAGGAGGCCGAGGAAGAGTGCGTAAGGGGCGCCAACCCGGTAAAATGCCGGCGAGCGATAGCGACATACTTAGGGGCGGATTGCGGTTTAACAGCGTTTCATCGGTGGAATAGCGAGGTCTGCGAAATGCCGGATTTTCGGTGAAATGCCGAGCGTCAACTGCCACTGCTGTCAGACTGAGCACCGACGCTTAACGACGGGCATCCTTACCCACACCAGGATTGAGAATGAGAACATATATGAGAGAGAGAAAGAGAGAGAGGAAGAGTGCTCCCATATCCCCCATAACATCACAGCCAACGAGACCTCCTTGCTCCCCTTTCGATCTCGTAACTCAACATGTCGCCTTCAGCCACAATCCCTGACACCACCCCTTCGAACACTCGCGCCACCGCTCCGGTTAAGCGCACCACCAACACTTGTTCCGTCGAAAGCGTCTTTGCTGCGCTCGACCTCCCCCCTCCAGGCTCGCGCATCTGCGGTCTATTCGACGGAACCTGGCATCATGGCTCATCCACCACCACGCCTCTCACCTCAACCAACCCTGCGACTGGCGAAACGCTAGCCACGGTCTCGTGTGCCACTCCCTCCGAGGTTTCTTCCGTCCTCGCTGCTGCTTACTCGGCACAGCGTGTTTTCGCCAAACTACCTGCTCCGGCTAGGGGTGCGGTTATGAAAGATATCTGCTCGGCCTATGTCGAGCACAAAGATGCCCTTGGAGCGCTCGTTTCTTTGGAAATGGGCAAAGTACTGAGTGAAGGGAAAGGCGAGGTGCAGGAGGTGATCGATGTAGCAGACATGGCTGTCGGTCTTTCCAGGAGTATCAAAGGCAATGTTTTGCCGAGTGAAAGACCAGGACATGTGATTTACGAACTACCCAACCCATTGGGGTTGGTGGCCGTCATTACGGCGTTTAACTTCCCAGTTGCAGTGCATGGATGGAATTTCTGCTTGAGCTTTGTTGCTGGTAATGCTACTATCTGGAAGCCTTCCCCCACGACACCCCTCACCGCTATCGCTACGACCAAACTTCTGGTAAAGGTGCTCGAAAAGCACGGCTTGCCAACTGCGCTTGCTGCTTTGGTGTGTGGAGATGTCGAAACAGGACAAGCTCTCACGCAGGATGACCGGGTTCAGCTTACCAGCTTTACTGGTTCCGAGGCAATTGGAAAGGTAGTTGCCAAAGACGTCGCTGGTCGTTTGGGCAAGATCTTGCTCGAGCTAGGTGGAAACAACGCTGCGATTGTATTGGACGATGCAGACCTAGACCTAGCAGTACCAGCAGTTGCATTTGCTGCAGTCGGAACTGCTGGTCAACGTTGCACCACCACCCGCCGTCTCCTACTGCAGCGAGGCATTGCTGATGCATTCCTAGCTAAACTCGTCAAGTTCTACGAGTCTCTCCAATCCAAAAACCTAATCGGAGACCCTACCGACCCTTCCATCCTTTGCGGCCCACTACACTCGCCCCGAGCAGTCTCCAAATACTGGGAAACTCTCGACACAATTCGCTCTTCAGGTGGAAAGATCCTCTTTGGGCCTTCCTCACCCTCCTGCCCAGGCCTGCACCCAACGCTTAGCAACTCAAAAGGAAACTTTGTCCTCCCTGCAATAACCCTGCCCACCAACTGCAACGACCGCGTATTCACAGAAGAAGTCTTTGCTCCAATCCTAAACGTAGCTCTTTTCTCCACGCTCGAGGAAGCTGTACAACTAAACAACTCCGTTCGACAAGGTCTAAGCAGCAGTCTCTTCACAAAAGATCTAAAAAACGTCGGAGAGTGGCAAGGCGCACTTGGAAGCGACTGCGGCATTGTAAATGTCAACGTTAGTACCAGTGGTGCAGAAGTAGGCGCCGCTTTCGGAGGTAACAAAGCAACTGGCTGGGGTAGAGAGTGTGGTGGTGATGCTTGGAAACAGTATTCTAGGTGGTCTACTAGTACCGTTAATTACTCGGGCCTCGTCGCGCTAGCTCAGGGGGTCAAGTTCGATGCTTGACCTCAGTGCAGAAGGGAAAGGTGTCTATGATGGAATGATGTTTGCGTTTTGATATAAGTTCGACTGTGTGACTGTGTTTAGAGTGCTTGGCCGTCGAGATTTTCTTCAGCTTCCATCAAAGCGTTTCCTTTTCAAGGTACAGCAAGGTCGGCCATCTCTTGGCCGTCCAAGTCCTCCTCCTGAGCTTCGGTCGTTGGATGTGCGGAGGTGGTGTCCTCCTCTTCCACCACTTTCCCATATCCTGCTGGCTTCCAAGTAACAGGCGGTTGATCAAACACCTTCCTCAACCTTTCCAGTACGTGCGGAGAAACAACGATCCACCCCTCCCAAACTTGCAGTACATCCAAGAGCTTTGCCCGGAACTCCTCCCTCCTGATTCTGCCAGCAAAGCTCTTCACTACTTGACCCATGTGTGCAAAGATCAACGGCAACTGAGCCTCTAATGCTGCTCTGTACCTCCAAGCATTCGAGATTGGTGTTCCGGAATTGTGCAGAATATCACTGAGCGCGTAGAGTCGGGCGAGCTTGCGTGGGATCGGGGTTGTGGGTCGAAGTAAAGAGGATGTGAGGATGGAGACGACAGTGGGGTAGGAGGAGGAGTGGTCGATGGCGAACGAGGTGATTCTGGCTATGCGGTCTCGGCGAAGGGTGAGGGAGCGGAGCATGCAGATGAGACGACGACGCGCGAGGGGACCAAGTGGGGTAGAGGAGGATGAGGGGAACGTCGAGTGGCCAAGATGGTTGGATTCAGATTCTTCCCCGGAATCGGTGGAATAGAGTTCGTCGCTGCCTTCATCGTTGAACTCGCGCTCCTCTTCTGGTGATGAGGTGGGTAATGGGGTATAGTGCGGATCCAAGCACATCCGAAAGTGATGGTATAGCGGTGACTTGTCATCAAAGAGAAAGCTGAATTTGGAATTATCCCTCTCCCTCTCCCGCAGTATGCCTTCAAAGTTGCGCCCGCCGTTACTCTTGACCCTCGAAGCAAGCGTTTCGATGAACAATCTTTGCGTCTCTCCTCCGATCTCTTCCACTCTCCGCTTGACTCTCTCCCTCTCGGCCTCTTTCTTCACCCTTCGATGCCGAACGACCAGCTTGGGCACAACTGCCTTCCCACCGCTTTCACCCGCTTTCTCCTCGGCCATCATCTCCCTCCTCCTCTGCATGGGATACATGGCCCTTTGTGGCAAGGGCATACTCTTCCCCCAACTCAGCTTCAACCTAGTCCCACCCCAAACCGCGCCATCTGCCTCCCTGAACCCCCTCTCCGCCTCGCCTCTAGTCATATACGCGACAAAGCCGGTCAAGCGGCCCATTCTATCCCTCCCCGCTTGTTCCCCCCTAGGCCACATGATCTTGACGGTCGCCACATCTCCCCATTCTCGGAAAAACTCTGCTACCTGCCTCTCATCGACGTTCGGTGGCAGCGAGACAATGCAGATATTAGTGGTGAGTGGGTCGGAGACGAGATCGCGAGAACCAGGTTTGGCGAGCGTCTCGTGTGCGAGAAGGGTAGAGATGGAGGTGTTGGTGGTCGAAGCCAGCATGGACAGTCGAGATTCGCGTTCGGCTTGGCAAGATTGGAGTTCGGAGAGGAAGGAGGTCATTGCTTGTCGTTTGCGTGGTGGTTTTGTAGCTTCCATCCGAGGTGTGGATTGGTGAGAAGCGGTTTCTTCGGGGCTGTCTTGGTCTTGGTCTTGGTCTTGGTCTTGGTCTTGGCGGAATGCTGTGCTGGCTCGTTTTGTTGATGGTGAGGTTTCCTTTTTGCTGTTAGCATTCTTCCAAGATGCTTCGAGCGAAGCAGAGGGTGGTGGTGGAGCTAGTTTGGCTCGTGATCCGACATACGCTTTCCCACCAGCCGCGAGGAATGCCGATGCTGGCTTTCTAGGCCGTTGTTCTCCATCTTGGCGATGACTAGAGACGGCGAGATCGGCCACATCGCCCTGCATAGCAGCAAGGAATTCGTTATAAGCTCTCGCAGCATCTTGTTCCGCCTGTTTTTTCTTTCTTTCTTCTGCTTCTCGTTCCTTTTGCACGCGTGATTTGACTTTCCCTGCGCCATGCTGGAACTTTTCCCGTTTGAGCCGCTCTGCTAGTTGCTGCTCCTCTGCAGCGATGGCGGCGATAGCATCTTGCTTTTGAGCACGGATGTAGGCGAGGACATCTTTGTCTGGTTCTGGTGACGGTGTCGATACTCGTGGCTGCGAGTCTCGGTGTGGAAGCCGAGATGGAGGAGATGGATGAGGAGGAGATGGATGAGGAGGGGCGTAGGAGGAGGAGCCCGAATCGGGGTCGTGGAAGCTTCGAAGGGGGCGTGGACCTTGGGAGCGATGGTGGTGGGGTGGTGGTCTTGGGTTGCTTGGACCAGGCTGTTCTGAATCGTCGCAGCCCAAATCGACACGAGACAATCGCGATGGTCTCTGACCGCTGCCACCTCCTGACATGACGGATAGCCTTGCAATGCTGAACGGTGTTGGTCAAGAGGCACAAGATAGTACCAAGTTGGACCCTGAACTTGCTTGCCACAAGACGGAACTCGGGACTCGATCCTGGTGTTACCCGGCCGACAGATTTCCAAAATCAATTCTGGTGTTACCCGGCCGACAGAATTCCAAAATCAAGTCTGGTTGAATTGAAGATAACAATTAATACGCGGCGTTATCGGGGTCACGATCAGACTCCCTTTAACAACAGTTGTATGTTCTATGTAATGCTTAGTTTTCATAGTGCGAACCTAAATGACAAACATGTATATATACTCCATTCACTGCTCTAGTCCTATCTGAGGTGGGACATGTCACTTCATCTGTACTCCTATGTTGCTATGATACTGAGTGCCACTGAGCTGTTGCCATGACAACAATCATATATCTCATTGTGCTTCTCACTTAAGTAAGCCTCCTGTGCCTTGGTGTCTCAGCCGTGACATGTGCATCTTGCTTGAGTTGCTGATGCATCTTCAACTCCCCCCTTTGGTGGGATCTCCAGCCCTATCATCCTAGCCAATTGTGAGGTGTTGAGACCCTGTAAAGGTTTTGTTAAGACATCTGCAATGTTGTTTGCTGTCCCAACATGTTTGATTGCCACATCACCCTCTTGCATGTGATCGCAGATGAAGTGATACCATGTGTCGATGTGCTTTAACTTCCAGTGTTTGGCTGGATCTTTACTCACCTGTATGCATCCCTGGCTATCAGTGTATAGTATGGGCCAAATGTCCATGATCTCCAAATCCCGGAGCAAATATGAGAAGAACAATGCTTCTCACACCGCCTCGGAAGCGGCAACGAACTCTGCTTCAACTGCTGACAATGCTACACATTTTTGAATGTGAGACTTCCAACTCACTGGGCATCCATACACATATGTTATTGACCCTGAGGTGCTCCTTCGTCCATTTGTGGGGTCAGATGCCCAGTTTGCATCGGTATACATCATTACCGGTGTATCCGAGTGCTTGTTTGCCTCCCCTCCTAAGTGTAACTGATATTCATTCGTCTGGTTCAGGTACTTTACCACATGAATAGCTGCCTTCCATGCACTGTCAATCAGGATTGACATGTATTGTGATAATACACCAACAGCGAAGGCAATATCTGGTTGGGCTGTGTTGGAGACCCATAATAGTTGGCTGACCAACTCTTGGTACTTCTTTGCTTGCTGGGGGTCACATCTCTCACCTCCAGCAATGTTCACTACACTCAGCATAGGTACCCAAGATTTCTCATTTGCTCCTCCTAACCATTTGTTCACCATTTCTTTGATGTACGCCATTAGACCCAGAGATATCTTCCTCTGCCTTCTATCACGTGTGATCTTGATACCCAGAAATTCTTTGATTCTCCCATTGTCTTGCATCTCCCATTTGTCCATGATCTCTCACTTAGTGCAGTCTACCTCATCACGACTGGGTGATGTTATCAGCATGTCATCCACATATGCTGTAATGATCATAATCTTGTTGCCTGTCCCTCTTGAATATAAGCATGGTGTGCTCGGCATGCAATGAAAACCGATCATCCAGAGATGTGAGTCTAACTCAATGTTCCATTCTCGGCCCGATTGTTTCAGACCATACAGTCCTTTCACTACCTTCAACACTTTTCCAGGTGGTACTTTGATTCCTACTGGGGGCTTTAGATATACATCATGGTGTATAGTAGAGTTCAGGTATGCTTGTTTTATGTCAATAGAGTCTATTTCCCAGTCTCATATTGCTGCAACGGCGATCACCCCTTGAATGGATTGGATGGGCACTACTGGTGCGAAGACCTCTGTGTAGTCGATGCCCTCGTGTTGGGTGAAACCTCGTGCCACGAGCCGGGCTTTGAACTTTGTTGGCACAAGGTTCGCATCCGTTTTGATCTTGAGTACCCAACATGTGTCAATGGTGTTTGCACCCTTCGGGAGGTTCGCAATCTCCCACATGCCCATCACTTCTAACCCATCCAGCTCCTTTCGCATGGCTTCTTCCCAGTGCTTTCTGTCTTCTCCATTCATTGCTTCATGTATGGTTGGGTCCAGGTTCTTTCTCCGTTCTGGTCACGTCACCATGAGTCTGAAAGATTTACTGTCAATCTGGGCTTCGGTGATTGGTCCTTGTTCCATCACTTCCGCTGTTCCTCTGCTTAATCTTTCTTCCGAATCTGTCTCCATATCCATGTATTCTTGTAGTGGCCCTTCAGCTGTTTCATCGAATATATTTTCTTTGTTGTATCCTAGATCTTCAAAGTTCTCTTCTGTCATCATCACTGGGGGCGCCTTTGTGTCAACCAGTTGCCACTCGGTTCTGTCTGACCAGCACTTTGATTCCATGAATTTTGCTGAATTGCTCCAGAATATGTTTGGATTATAGTCCAGGCTGTAGAATAGCCAGCCCTTTCTCTCCAGACTGTATCCCAAGAAAATGGATGCGACAGCTCGCTGGTCCAGTTTCTTGTTGTCCCGTTTAACTTTGGGTATGTTTACCCATGCCAGACAACCAAACACTCATAGAAGTCTTAAAGCTCACTCTGGCGACTTGCCAAACATGACTTGGTAAGGGAATTCATTATCAACACTCGGAGTGAGGTTTATTTTGAATGCTGCAGCTCTGATTGCATATGGCCAGAACTTCTTGGGTAGTCTCCTCTGCATTAGCAATGTCCTTGTCTTTTCTCCAAGTGTCCTGTTCATTCTCTCTACCTGTCCATTTTGTTTACTGTTGTATCCTATGGTGGTTTGCCACTCTATGCCCCTTTCTAGTGACCATTCCAATGCATCATTGCTTCTCCATTCGGTTCCTTGATCGGATCAGATCACTTTTAGCTTCTGATCCATCTGTGTTTCCAGGAACGAAACAATCCTTTTGAGTTGCATAAATGCATGACTCTTTTGTGTCAATGGCTGTGCATACACATACTTGCTATGGTTGTTGACCAGCACTAATGTGCACATGTACTCCATCACATGGGACGAATCTATTATTAGATTGGTATGGATAAGATCCAGGGGCCCTACAGCTCTTTCGCTGCTACCTTGCCCCATTCGAGTGCTTGTGCTCTTGGATTGTACACACTGCTCACATGTCAGAGTGGTGTTTGGATCCAATTCCATGGTATGCTTATCTTTTAACTTGCTTGTGATCGCTTTAGTTTTATCCCTCCCTGGGTGTCTGAAATGCTCATGCCATAGTTGTTGCTTTGAAACTTTCAGCTCATTCTCAATATGCTCAAACTCCTCATCAATGCCTTCAAACAATGGTGTTGATGTGGCCATTGCGCTTTCTTGCCATGTGTCACCTCAGAACTCCAAAAGTCCTCACTCGTGATTCTTTGCAATCTTAAGTGTCATGCCATTTGTTAGAAAAATTTGACCGCTGGTTGTGTCCAATATCACTCATGCTCCTTCATCCATTAATGAATTCGTTGACAGAAGGTTAACATTAAGGTGCTTCACATATAATACATTTTGTAGGGATATTTCCCTGTAATCTGTTGATATGCTTGCATCTCCTATAGCTGCCACTTCCAAGACCTCGCTTCCAGCAGTAATTATCCACTTTCAGCAAGTTCTTGGATGGATGAGCATGCTATAGTTGTTCACCATATGATAACTTGCCCCCGAATCCAAGATCCAATGAGCTGTCTCTTTTGTGTTCAGGGGGTCTTGCCACTTCAGTGGGAGGGTGAGGGAGCACCACACTTCCTATTTAGGTTTAGCAAGGCAGGAGTCTTTGGGGATGGTGACTGAGGCATTGCATTGGCTAATACCATGCCCAGGTCGCTTGCAGATCCAGCATCAGATTCGGCATGGTCTGCCTGCGTCCCTCAGGCTCATGTGGCTGTTGTCAGCCTCGGCTTCGGTCTCTCTGGTCCATTTGTTTTGATTGTTGTTGCTGGCAGTTCTAGCACTGGCTTGTCGGGGGTCAATCTTTTGCATGGGAATGCTCTCGACAGTGGTCTGCTGGATGCTTAGTGCAGTGGCTAGGGTGTTGAAGTTGATTTGATGGATGGTAGTGACCATCTCCTTATACACCAGATGCCAGATCATGCATTTCTGCAGAGCCAAGAACAATGTATCATCAGCAAATGGTTTGCCGAGGAGGCTGCTTTCAGTCTGTATGGACCGGATCTCTTGAATTAGCTTTCTGACATCCGAGTGAAACATCTTTGTATCATTGAGCTGCGAGATGAGTGCAAGTCTGTGAGATGTTTTGGTGGCTTCGTTCATGAGACTGTTTTCGATCTTTCTCCATACTTGATTGAAAGTAAGGTACTCTTTGATTACATCTAGAATGAGGTAATTTACATTGTGTTCTCCGGTAGTGTCGATTGTTCCATGCAGGGCATTAATTAAAGCATCATCGAGGGAGTGGCTCCATTTTGGGTGCTTCTTGTCATATGTTCCCTCAAGATGTTTCATCATGTGGGGCATGGATCAGAGGAAAGATTTCACATGAGCACTCCAGCTATAATAGCTGCATGACATGAGCTTTGGCATGGGTTCAAGGAGTTTTGCTAGGGTGCGAAAGTTATATCACTTGTTGCCATCATCGAAGTCAGAGTCAGAGTCAGTGTCTTTGTTGGCTTCATTGTCGATGACCTCCGGCTCGTTCTCGTTCGTGGCATCATTGTCTACCTGAACCTGGGTGTTCTTGCCTTTTCTGCTTCCTTTGATCCTTATTTCGGTGTCTTCTACCATTGTTGTCGATGAGTTTCGGTTGGCTCAGTGATAGCTTCTTCAGACTCTTAATCAATTGAAGATAACAATTAATACGTGGCATTATCGGGGTCATGATCAGACTCCCTTTAACAACAGTCGTATGTTCTATGTAATGCTTAGTTTTCATAGTGCGAACCTAAATGACAAACATGTATATATACTCCATTCGCTGCTCTAGTCCTATCCGAGGCAGGATGTGTCACTTCATTCATACTCCTATGTTGCTATGATACTGAGTGCCACTGAGCTGTTGCCATGACAACAATCATATATCTCATTGTGCTTCTCGCTTAAGTAAGCCTCCTGTGCCTTGGTGTCTCGGCTGTGACACGTGCATCTTGCTTGAGTTGCCAACACATCTTCAACTGGTTGTTACCCGGCCGACAGAATTCCAAAATCGATTCTGGTTGTTACACGGCCGACAGAACTCTGGCTCCGGTTTTGGTTTAAATTTTCGCTGCGGCCTTGCTGGAGAAGGGAAGAAGTTGTACAAAAGCGCTTCTCGTGGCAGGCATCCTCCTTTCTTCTTCTCCTTAACGCTAAGTCGTGCCCCCGTAGGAAGGGGTACGCACCCCCGTCCACTATAAAAGCACCTCTTCGCACTGGCATCCTTGCTTTTTCCTTACGAGGACAAGACCGCCGAGGACCGTACGAGGCCGTAATGCTGGACGGAGATCCATACCATTCCCTCCTGTCTCGAAAGAGAGCGGGGAATGAGACGATGGGAATGGGTGCGTCGTAGGTAGAGGTACGCCCTTTGTTGGCGTTCCCATGACCTAGGTCGCAAGTTCTCGTTGTACATTCTTCTTTTCCACTTGCCTTCTATCCCCTTGTTCCATCCCTGCTTCTCTCGACCTCTGAACACAACTTGGTGGACGATAGATTTGTTTGGATGATACACTTTTGCAATGTATTGAGATGGGTCAACTGTGACACAGCTTGCTTTGCCAATCCTCTTGGCGCTGACTGATGTGGGGGAGCGGCTTGTCTGGGGCAAGCGCAGACGGTGAGGTTTTGTGTGTTCAGCAATGACTTTCATCCTTCTCCACCGACTTGTTTCAACCGAGTCATTCTCTTGCACAAAGTCATCAGGAGTCTTGGGCAAATCCTTTCAGGTGCCTTTGCATCTTAAAAATGCACCGACAAGGTTGATGAGCGAGATAGGATGTGGCAAACAGTATAGGTACCAGCCCATATTTGCTCATCCGGTGTTGCAGGAGTTTTTTCCGGAACAACTTAGCGGGACTAGGTTCTTGTCCCCTCCACCACCGTCATCGCAAGACGGAGAAGGAGGGGAGAGAGGAGAAGGGAAAGGGAAAGGGAAAGGGAAAGGGAAAGGAGAAGGGAAAGGAAAAGGAAAAGGGGAGGAGAAGGGAGAATGGCATCATGAAAGTATGCATAGTCGTATGGAGAAAAGAGCGGGAGTGGGGCCCTGTCAGAGGATGTTTGAGGTAGGTGCAAGATGGGTGGATTTGCATCTGTTGGATGAATGGAAGAGGGAGAAGAATGGTGATAGGGAATGGCCAGGGAGGACAAGGCTGATGGAGGTTTTGGAGAGGATGCAAGCTCGACCATCAGGGGAGGGAGCGAGGGCGGAACATGCGCCAGAAACGTAGCTTTCGCCAAACGTAGTGGTGAAGAGTAAAGATGAACATGAGCTTTTGCCTGTGTGTGGGAGTGTGTATATACAAAGAGCGATAACTTGATGAGATGTGTTGTATCCGTTCGAATGTCTATAGCTCTGCTTGGAGCCAACGCATCCTGTCTTGGCGACCACTTGCGCTCTACTTGCGACCGTAGACAGTCTTCCTGCCCAAATCAAAGGGAACATACTTATGCCTGATCATATGTTTGATCTGTCTCCTCATCGTAATCGTAAACAATACACAAAAGTACATCAACAGAATCGGCCAAAACACGGGCACATCAAAAGCACTACTCGTCGTCGCCAACAAACTCAACCCGACCGCCTGGGTAGCACTCAACCAAAACTTGAACTCGGGCAACCTGCGAATAAATGGCCTGAACTCATCATCTCCACTCTGCGCATTCAAGGAACCACCAAAGACACCTGACATCAACCCTCCTCCATTACCGCCTTTACAACCAGAAGAGGAGGAAGAGGTGGGTAGACCCGGTTCACCCTCTTCGACATCCTGTTCAGCAAGATCTTGTTCGTAAGAGGGATCGAATTTCGGGGTTAGGAAAGCGAGGAAGAGGTTGAGAAGGTAGATGAAGAGAGCGTAGCAAACAATGTACCATCCTTGCGAGAGAATGATACGAAGCATGAAGAGCAAGAGGAGAAAGCTTGTTGCTCCCCATCGTTGGAGCGGGTAAGGAGTGGTCGAATCGAGCAAGGATTGGTAACGTTGTTGAAGTTTAGAGGTGTGAGCGATCAACGCTTCGATCTGGCGTGGGGCGGAGGGATTCAGTCCGTCGTCTGGGTCGTCTGCTCTCATCATCTTGGCGAGAGGCTAGAGGCGAGAGGCTAGATGCGAGAGGCTAGAGGCGAGAGGCTAGATGCGAGAGGCTAGAGGCGAGAGGCTAGATGCGAGAGGCTAGAGGCGAGAGGCTAGATGCGAGAGGCTAGAGGCGAGAGGCTAGATGCGAGAGGCTAGAGGCGAGAGGCTAGATGCGAGAGGCGAGAGGTGGTGGCTAGGATGTTGGTGGTAGGCTAGGATGTTGGTGGTAGGCTAGGATGTTGGTGGTAGGCTAGGATGGTGGTGGTAGGCTATGATGGTGGTGATAAGGAAAAGGCTCTTTTTTCGTTTCCCGAATGCCGAATTGCATTCCAATTCTTCTTGCAGAGAAGGCACAGCACTTGCACCTTCCACGCGTCGGCCCTTCTTTCCTTTCTCCCGTGCGTGTCGGCGATCTCTAAAATCCCAAATCAACAATGTTACGCCGATGCTTGTACACAGATCGGGGAAAGTTTAGCATTTCTCGGAAGCCGGAAGCCGGGATACAAATCCGAAATCTTTTTTTTCTTCTGACTCCCTTTCGCTGTAGATGGCTCGAGCGTTTGAACGAGTGCGTCATTCGGCAGCCAGCATATTGCACTCGCTGACTGCTCAGTGCAGCCTTCCTTTCTTCCTTTCTTCCTTTCTTCCTTTCTTGGCAACCATTATTACCCCCAACGAACTCGGCATCGGGCCCCCCCCTTTCCTCCCCCTTCTCCTCCTATACGGCGTCGCACTCTTGCAAAGATGATCGCAGCCGCTTCCTCGATGCGCACCACTCTCCGAGCTGGAGCCCGGATTGGTGCTCCTCGTCACCTCTCATCAACAGCTCGAGTCAAGAACGCATCGACATCACTCAAGCCCGTAGCCAGGAAAGGCGGCATCATCCGCAAAACTCTTCGATGGACAGGATACACGGTCGGCTCCATAGTCTTTGGTCTCACTGCTACCACCGCCATCATCCTTGCTCACGATGCTCTCACTTACCGTGAAGCCCACGTCGACAAGGTTCCCCTGAACCCTTTGGCACTCGAACCTAAAAGAGGTGGGCCCAAGAATCTCCCCATCCTTTGCTCGTATCCTGAAGATGAGCAGGACGAGCTGAGCAAGAAGCTTGCCGGTAAAGAGCGACTCGTCATTGTCGGAGGTGGTTGGGCAGCCGTTGGTCTCCTCAAATCCCTCGATCCTGAAAAGTACAACGTCACTCTCATCTCCCCAAACAACTATTACCTCTTCAACCCTCTCCTTCCCTCGGCCGCCGTCGGAACTGTGGAGCCTCGCTCTCTCATCGAACCTATCCGCAAGCTCCTGGCCCGCGTCCATGGACACTACATCCAAGGCTTCGCCACGGACGTCATCATGGGCGATGAACAACCCGGCACGCAGCGTCTACTCGAAGTCGGCGTCATCTCTGGCGACGACTGGGACGGCGAAGCACTCTGCGGCGGCGGAGTCACGGTTGGAGAACGCAAAGAAACCAAAGGTAAATCCATCTACGTTCCCTACGATCGACTCATTGTCGCCGTCGGCAGCGTCACCGCCTCCCACGGCGTACCCGGCTTGGAAAACTGTTTCCATCTCAAAACCATCTCGGATGCACGCAGAATCCGTTCTCATATCCTCGACAATCTCGAAGTAGCCTCGCTTCCTACCACCACGCCAGAAGAACGCAAACGCCTGCTCAGCTTCGTCGTTTGCGGTGGAGGTCCCACGGGAGTCGAAACTGCAGCTGAAATCTCGGATATGATCAACGAAGACGTCTTTGATTACTTCCCCAAAGTCCTTCGTGCACAAGCCGAGGTTCATCTGATTCAGTCTCGCGAACATATCCTCAACACCTATTCCGAAAAAATCTCAGAATACGCAGAAGCCAAATTCGCACGCGATGCAGTCGACGTTATCGTCAACGCCCGCGTCAAGCGTGTTGATCCTGATCAGGTGCTTTACACGGTCAAAGATCCCGCCACAGGAAAGGTTACGCAACTCTCGGTTCCCTCTGGCTTTACACTGTGGTCAACGGGTATTGCTATGTCACCCTTCGCCAAGCGCGTTACAGAACTGCTTCCGAACCAATCGCATCTCAAAGCACTACAAATCGACTCGCACCTTCGCGTAAAAGGTGCACCCCTCGGTACGATGTATGCTCTTGGCGACGCATCCACGATCGACAATCGTCTGATCGATTATCTATACGATTTCGTCGATCGCTACGACGCCGACAAAGACGGCCGCTTGTCCTATTCGGAATTTGAAACCTTCGCCAAAGCAATCCGACGCAAATTCCCAATCGCTTCCAAACATTTCACCAAACTGCGCGAGATGTTTGACGAGTACGATGCGGATAAAGACGGAAAACTCAACCTGAATGAGATTGCAAACGTCCTCATCGAGACAGGCAACAAAATGACCGCTCTCCCCGCCACAGCTCAGGTGGCAGCCCAACAGGGTAGCTATCTGGGCAGCAAGTTGAACAAGCTAGCCAAGAGAAGAGATCAAGGCGGAGACATGCATCCGCATACCGCAGAAGAGGTGGAGGATGTGGATGAAGAGGTGGCTAAGCCGTTCAAGTATACCAATTTCGGTAGCTTGGCATATATTGGAAATGCAGCTGCATTCGATCTGCCAATCCCGGGAGGCAGTTTTGCAGGCGGGCTGATAGCAATGTATGCCTGGAGAAGCTTTTATCTGAGCGAAAGTGTAAGTATGAGGACAAGAGCGTTGTTGTTGGGTGATTATATCAAGAGAGGCATTTGGGGCAGAGACTTGTCAAGGATCTGAGCTCGAGCTTCTTTCTATCTTGACCATGCTCATATCAGCACTGTGGTCCTTTTGCAGATCCTTCGTCTATCTTTTATCGCAATGCAAGTTGGTTCGGGTGTCGCTGTGTACTATAGTACTACTTGGTCGAGTCTGATTGAAAGCTGTATGGGCTGACCAGACGCAAACGCAATGGGGCCGAGTAGTCACAGACTGGAAAAGCATGAGCCTGTGCGCAATCTGTTGGTCTGTCTATCAAGAGCGTTTGTATTTCCTACTTGGCGGCAAACATCAGTTCGGGAATGGTCAAGGATCCTTTCTATCCGATGTGCACTAGGCAAGCTTCTCCGAGGTTGCTGCTTAAACGAGACGGTCAGCACCCTCCTTGCCCTCAGCCTCAGCAAGGAATTGCTTAACGAAGGCCTCCTCGTCACTGTTCGGAGAGGATCATGCCGATTGCACAAGGTAGATTTTAGTATGTCTTGTATTCCATCCTGTATATTGTCAGCGAGGTTGGGCGACTTACGAGCTGGAAGCGTTGATAGGGGGATCGTTAGCCTTGGCATCGGGGCTGGCACCGGAAGCGGCTGCCTTAGCCTCCTTGCTACCACCCATCTGAGTAGCGGCGATAGCACCGTAAGCGCCCAAAACGGCGAGAGCAATGTGCTCGTTAAGGACCTTGCGGCCTGCAATACCATCACCATCACCAGTACAATGTCACGAAGCTTGTCAGATACAGTGTGCGAGTGTGCGAGTGTGCGAGTGTGCGAGTGTGCGAGTGTGCGAGTGTGCGAGTGTGCGAGTGTGCGAGTGTGCGAGAGTCGATGTGTTGTGTACGTACCAGCAATTGTGTAGGACATGATGGAATGTGTATCTACTGTACCCTCGTGCGATGGTGGCTTTCCAGTGAGTGATATCGAGATGCGATGTGGGGAGATGGATTCCTTCTTGCCAGTCTTGCTCGGTTCCGAAGTTGAGCCTTACTAACAGAGAGATGACGAGAAAATAAATAGGCTTGATCACACGCTTCTCTCGGCCGTTAGGCTCTTCCCTCCTCTCCTTTTTAACCAAGACTAACAATGTTAGCACACACTTGCTCACACTCGACAGGAAACAGAAAATGGATTGAGATGCTCAAATTCCTGCACAGCTCAGCAGGGCACACCAACCAACTTGCTTCTTGCCACCATCCATCATCCCCAACTACTCGCTAGCTGGGCTGGTGAAGACCACAGCAGCAAAGATGGAACAAGGAGCAGCACCCTCCTCCTTCCGCACTCGGCAGAAGGAGCAGACCGACTGGACTTGCGCTGTCTCTACACCCGCAACTTGCTCTGCTACAGGTACACCATCACGACAGTCCTTGCCTCGCCCTTTGAGCTTGCTTCAGAACGACACCTCCTCTTCCTCCTCCTCATCCGCTCGCACAGACGATGGCCGACGAGCTTCTTTCACCGCTCCCAAACCGCTAAGTCTCGGGTCGCAATCGGTAACCACGCCAACGACAGCTTCCGCAAGCACAAGCGCATTCGATACTCCGAGAAGAGGCAAACGCACCAGTCTCTCTTACATCTCTTCCCCCTCCACATCCTCAGCCAGTGGTCGAACACGCACAGGATCCATCTCCCGAACTGCAAGAGGCTCACGCAGAAGACCTTCCCAAGCGAGCGATACAGCAGCAGACGATTGGTTGATGAGCGAAGATGACACTTCTTTTTCGCTACCTGCTGCGGCAAGAGCTATGGCTGAGAGAGATTCGGCAAAAGTCGAGGCTCAGTTTCATGATGTACGTTCCCCCACCCTCCCTGTTCGTCGCAACCTTCGGTTCTGATGTTCGATATGCTGATTTTATTGATTGCTTGAATGTAAATTTGTAGACTGGCTACAGGGAAGGCATAACAGCAGGAAAGCTTTCAACGCTGCAACAAGGTTTCAATACGGGCTTTAACGAGGTAGGTGCTCTTCTTGGTCGTCAGCTTGGTCAGTTGCGTGGTCAAGTGGCTGCTCTTCTATTTCTTACCTCCACCCTCATCCCGGACTCTACCTCTACCTCTACCTCTACCTTTGCTGGCAACACTTGTCGGGCTCGACGTGTTGCGATGTCGCCTTCTGCTGGATTCGTATTGCCGCTGTTGAAGCATCCACAATTAGAACAAGCTAGACGGGAGTTGGAAGAGTTGGCAAAGGAGTTGGATGGGGTGACGCTGGAAAAGATCGCCGAACCAGATTATGAAGCGCTGGAGCATGAGAGGGAGCATGCCGCAGAAGACGGCGGGGGTGGGGGAGGGGAGGCAGTCAAAAGGCAGACAGAGGAAGAGAGGAGAGAGAGGGTGGCGGTGTTGCAGCGCTTAGAGGAACGGGTGCACCAAGTGAGGCCGATAGTTGGTCTCACTTCCGTCTAACTTTGGCTCTACCCACCACCCTGCGTGAGGATGATAGAGAAGAGCACCTGACCTCCAGCCCCTGCCCCTGCCACTGCCGCTTCGTCCTCGCAATGCCACCTGTTTCCCCCCTCTCCACGAACGGAAATGCTCGTCTGATTCTGCTTTGACTAACGCCTCTAGTCTGCACCGCTTTGCCTCATCGCTTCTCTGCTCAGAATGGCAAGTCCAAAGACAAGCGAACCTCAGGCTCAGCCTCGCTCGATTCCACCGCCACCACCGACCCTACCAATTCCCTCTCCGCAGCAACGCTCTCCGCAGCAACGCTCTCCTCAGCAACGCTCTCCTCAGCAACGCTCTCCTCAGCAACGCTCCTCGGTCTCATAGCCGAAAAAGAACGTCGTCTGTTCGAACTGCGGGAAGAACTTTCCACCACCGAAACTCAACTCCACCGCCTCCGCAGCACATGGCAGCGTTCAGCAACTCGCGAACTCGGACTTGCCCAATCAACTTGCATCCTCGCCGCTTCGAATGGATCGCATAAGAGGGATGGAAGCGATTCAGTAGCTGATGCATGGGGAACTCTCAAATCGGGCCTCAACAATTTTTTGGACTCGATCGCAAATGCACCTCCTGCATCAGCACCAGCGCCGATAGAGAAAGATTGCAATTTACTCGGTCCAACAGGGTTGGGGGTACTGGAAGAGGAAGCGAGTGATTTAGGTAGTGCAGCTCTCTCTCCACGGTCGCCTAGATCTCCTTCGGGGGTGGGGGTGGAGGTGGATGAGGGAAACAAGTTGCTTGGCTTTAGTGTCGATAGTAATGGTTTAGCTCATTTGGGTGGGCAGGGGGAGGAGAGAGTGCCGCAGAGGCCGCCAAAGACAGAACAGATCCCAAGCTCGGGTAAATGGAGTTCTCGTCGAACCTCTGTGCTTGGTTCGTTGAGTAATCTTCAATCGAAACTCACAGATACTACCACAACAAAGGAAAGCAACGATGGAGGCGGAAGTGGGGGAGGGGGTTGGTTAGCGAGACGGTTCAGAGAAGCACAACAAAATGCATCCGATCTACTCAAAGAAGCGGAACGGAAACTTGGCGATGCTATGAACCTCGATGATCTCTTAGGCGTTACCCCTAGCCCAGCTGCCTCTACGAATTTGCAGGCTAGATCTACATCTCCACATATAACACTGGAAGAAGCATCGTTTGATAGCAACCCCACTCCTTCGCCTTGGTATGCTGCTGCGGGAGGCCTACCTCGTCGAACTGCCGATCGTTCACCAAGCCTAAATGCAGCAGACGGGCAGGGTAGGTTGAGCATCTCCACAACCTCCAGTCGTGGGTCCGGGAGAAGGAGCTTAGACGTTGGCGGAAGGAAAGGCGCAAATTCTCCGAATCTATCGCACTCTCCTCCGGTGGGGGGCGCACCTGGATCAGCAGGTGTATTCGGATTGTTTATGGGCAAAAACAGTTGCTCCTCAGATCTGCCTGGGAAACCAAGTAGTGGTGATTGGCCTGATTGGTATTGGCCCGCAAACGACGACGATCAAGACGAATCTAAAAGCAACAAGAACCGAGAATCGCTCGTGTCAATTACACTAGAAGACACGGCGAAAGCAGAGGAATAAGTACAACCTCGATCGCCTCACAGCATGCTATCTGACTTGTGTGTTGGAAAGGTGGGATGCAATCACACTACCCTCGGTCAATCAGGCTTACGAAGCAGGAGGTTTAGCTTCATCAGGACTAGATTCACGGGCAGCTACGATACTAGGATGCAACATGATCGGTGGTTGCAACTGCTCCCTCTTCTCCTTGCGCACCAATAGCTCGACTAGCTTCAGTGTCAACTCGATAAACTGCCTGCGGCGAGGATGATGGTGAGCTTGAAGATACAAGTCGCCAAGGAGGTGGGGGGTGGCAAGATAAGACAAGACGCACGGACCCACGCATTTTACGCGCGAGAAAGGTGGAGACGCGTGTAATGCCTTAGCCGGCCGAATGAAAACAAGGGGTGGCTGGTGCTGAGTCGAACGAGACAGACACATGAGAAAAAGTAAAGAAGTATGGTCCCGATAACTGGCGATCGGGGATAGTCTAACTACGATGTCACTACTTCTTTAAGGCAGAAACATATATACTCGATTGACTAAAGGAATGTGGCGAGAGCCTAGTGCTCTCTGTGAGATATATATACATGTGAGCGGCACATGACTGCTACTTAATGATCTACCATGACAACGAGCGGGACTGTGTTGCACCCGATTCTCGGTTTCCGATCAGGTCGTTCCCTCACCCGATCCCCTTTTGTATCTGCTTACGTCATCCAATATTATCTCGTCGGATCGTCATTCTCAATAACAGACACACACTCTCTACTCGGACACTTGTGAGAATGGCATCTTCTCATCAAACAACCACCTCGCTCGACGTCAAACATCCAGGCAGGTCGGAAAGGATGTCAGCTTCAACAACAGCAAACAAACAACTCTATTATGAGCTGTACCGTCGATCTTCGTAAGCATATCCCACCCGCCCAACACGTTCTGGCTCACTTGGCTCATCCTCGCTCGCTTCACTTGCAACAGCATCGGCATGCAACTCACCGATGCACTAGACGAACTCATCCAATCAGGCCACATCAACCCTGTCCTTGCAATGAGAGTCTTGAACGAGTTTGACAAATCTATTGCTACTAATTTGGCGAAAAACGTAAAGGCTAAAGCTCAGCTCAAGGTTCGTCCACCACACCCTACCTTCTCTCTGTCTCTTTGCATGTTGCTAAAGCTCTCGACTTTCTATGCTACTTGCTCTACATTGTCAAACACACTCCTCTACCACACGTAACTCGTCCACGATTTGCTTGGAATCTTGCTAGGGTCACCTCAAAGACTACCGTCTATGCGAAGAAGTTTGGACCTTCCGTGTTCGTAATGCCACTCTGAAACTCGACAATAGCGAACTTTTGGATGTGGATAAGGTCAAGATCGTTGCTTGTAAGATGGCGGATAGTACTAGCAAGTAACTAACCCCTCGTGCAAAGCATGGTTTTCTTTCCTTGCCTCACTCTTGTATACTAGCTTCTTTTGGTTTTCTTTTGCATGTTCTCTTTTGCATCTCATTTGGTTTCTCGTCTGCTTTTGCTCTGCTCTGTGTCACCAAGTCGTAGCGGAAGGGCAAGAAGAAAGAAGAGCAACGGAAAGGCTGACATTTCTGCTTCTTTTGGTGTGGAATGTCGTCCTCCAAAGAATGCATACCGCATCATATATTACACCTCTCCCTGCAGTATCAATGTCGCCTGTCAAACATGGCCTGCCTTCGCTCCTTGCTCCCCTTCCCCCTTCCCCCTTTCGCCTTCTCCCTTTCGCCTTCTCCCTTTCGCCTTCCCCTTTGGTTGACCTTGCCTTGCGTTGGCCGGTGTGCATACATTCTTGCACTCTCAAGGTGTAGAGGATTGCTTTGAGAGCGAGCATGGCGCTTTGTTGTGTTGATCCCCCCAGGTGGTCTTTCTGGTGAGAGGTTCCTTCTTTACCATCATCCACCCTCCCATCCATCCTATCATTAAATTCGCTATCGTCGCTATCGTCGCTATCGTCGCTATCATCTTTATCACTGATCTAGCTCTCTCTCTCTCTCTCTCTCTCTAACACAGCGACTCTGGGCAGAATCGAGGGAATAAGAGGCACACTACAGCCCTCTCTCGTAACACGTATCATTGTCTCTCAGGCCTTTGAGGATAGGCAAGAATGCCACGTATTCCGGTTAGAGTAGAACCCTATTCCTCGCCCTCTCGGCAACAGAGGCATTATAAAAAGAAACGAGACCATGTTCTCCGCGCACTGGGTAAGGCAGCGTATATCAATGGATCGCATTTCGCAATCATGTGGCTCTCCGCCAGAGGACATGTCGAGACTTATGCTAGCCAAGCACTGCAGAGTAGGTTGGAAGACTGGTTTGTGAAAGGAGGGATTGCGGATGAGGCCAAACAAATCGTTCAACGTCAGAGTGGGGAGATCGGTGGGAGCATGCGCATCTTCGAGGATCATGCCGGAGAAGAGCAAGGAGAGGAGGATGAAGGGGAGCAGAAGCAGGAGCGGGAGCAGGAGCAGGAAGACGTCTTGCTCGACCCCACCACTTCCAACGCGGATAAGGGAGAAGGGAGAAAGGCAAGGAGAGGTAGGCCATTAGCACCGTTAAACACAGCTATTGCGAACCAACATTTCCTCCGATCAAGATCATCGTTCCCGCACTCTACTGGGATGGTATGGGGCAACTCGATCTCCTCCCCTCCCACCCGCACACCCCTATACGAAATCAGCCTTAAGACCTTCTCCGCGCGAACCGCATTCCTAGAACTACGTTTCGGCCAACTACAACAAGGCGTATGCAAAACCGTCGCAAAAGCATGGATCAAAATCATCGAACCCAAAAAACAAACTCGTTGCCCTTACAACAAAGGCGAAGCAGGCAAACCTCACTGGTGGCCCGCATGTGTGAGGCACAAAGAACCAGACCACCTTATCAAAGCCGAAAGACATGCATTGTTGCTGACTATTTTAAGGAGCCCCAGGGTCAAGGTCGCAAGGTTACAGTTAGCTACCGCCGAAGTGGTCGCTTTGATCAAGGCTGATAAGGTGAGTCTTTTGATGGATGTTTATAGGGTTGCGCGAGAGGAAGAGAAGATGAGGCAGCGCAAAGCGGTAGCGCCGGTCGAGACGCTCGAGGGGTGGGAGCGGGAGAAGGGGGAGAAGGGGGAGGATGAGGAGGTCAAGGTTAGGGTTGGTACTTTAGATGGATGGTGTAAAGAAGCAAGTCAACCGACAAGTCAAGGTAGACAGATTGCTAGGAGTGTCACTCCTCCTTCTCCTCCTTCTCCTCCTTCTCCTGCCCCCGTCCCTAGTTCGCAAGGAGGAGGGAAAGAGGAGGGAGGAATGGAGAAAGGCAAGAAGAGAACTGCCGGTGCAATGACCAAATCTTTCTCCACCGGTGCCAACTTCAACAAACGAAGGAGTATTGCAACCACAACCCCCGCCTCCTCCTCCTCCTCCTCCTCCTCCTCCTCCTCTTCGCTTCCTCACGATATCTTCCCCCAACCTCCCCACAACAACACCATCTTCAACTACGACCCCCCGCACTCTCACTCGGACGCACTCGGCCTAGGCCTCCTAGCTCCCATCCCCCGCTCGCACTCTGTCTCCTCTGCACCTGCCCACCACACCCAACTCTACACGGGAAGGAGCTGCGAAACGTCGTCCTGGCCTGCTCAAAACGGCACATTTGCCCAAGTAAACGGCCTCACGACCCCACTCACGGCCACCTCAACCTCTATCTACCTGGCCTTGGCTGGGCATACAGACGCTGATACAGGAGAGTCCCACTATGCCCACGCGCACCATGATCCGCAGACGTTGTACGGCACATACAGCTGCAGACGAGATTTCCATGGCGTATCAGCATGATGCGCTGGCCTTCCATCTGACAGGTGGGGCGATGGGCGAGGGATGTGATTTTGGAGGTTTGGATATCAGTCAGATGGCTGATCTTGAGGATTCTAGTTGGCGTACGGTGACGGCGACGGCGACGGGTGTAGGAGGCGATATTGCATTAGAGAGTATCGGCGATGAGCAGCTTTGGTTGACCGGTCATCAACACCAACAACAACAACAACAACAACAACAACAAATGTCACACCTGTCTCTACACTTCTGTCACAACGTCTAACACACACTCGCTTCTAGCCCTCATTCATATCGACACTTTTCACACTTATCCCATCAAGATGTTCTGCAATGCATTCCAGTTTCAATCGCCCATACGAGCTGGCAAACGGACTGTCACCTTCCACCTCACCTCGATGAAAGAGAAAATGGAGGGTAGTTAAGATGTCTTCCAACCATTTCTCAAGGCCTTCAACGTTGCACCCAGTTGAACCCATCCATCGTCAACAGAACTCAAATCAATCACTCCCATCCCACTAGGAGCATGCTGCCTCCCTTCCTCACTCGCTTGTCGGCTCAACTCGTGCAACACTTGATCCTCCCGCTGGAAACTAGCAAAGAGGACGAATGAACAACATGTTCTGAGCCTAGCCAACTCGACAACGGTCGCTTCATGCCTGGATCCAGGAAAGAAAACTTCCACATGGCAATCGCAGGCAAGTGCTCTGCTTAGTGCAAATCGACCCGAGGATCGCGTGTATTCCAAAATCCTCCTAACGTCCAACTCCGGAATGGCGGTAGGCGTGGATAGGGAATGGATAAGGGAAGAGATGGAAGCAGAAAGCTCCTCGTCTTCTGATCCGGGAAGGATTACGTGGATGACGAATAGAGGTGAGAGTGTGGTGAGGAGTGTGCGCAGGCCCGAGATCGAAGCGCGATCGCGAATGAAGGTTGGGGAGAGGGAGAGGGAGAGACTGGGACGGATGGGCGAAGTGCTGCTGCTGGTGGATTTCAGGGAGCCTCGGCGACCAGAGACATGGTCATCATCGGATTCCTTCGGAGTGGAAGAGGAAGGCAGGTAGTTATATAAGAGGTAGGCGAGACCAGCTGCCGAAACTAGACCTCCAACGATAGCGATTGCGTTTGTTGCACGAGCTTTTCCCTTCCCACCACTGGCCGCAGCTATGCTGACCTTCACCTTGGAAGAATCAGATATGATTGCGAGACGCTTCCCAACATGCAATCCCGTCCAACTTGCACGCTTACCATCCACCTTAAGGGGAACACCACGCCTCTCCCACTCTTCCCAACCAACACTGCCCTCATCCCTCATGCCCACCAGGACGCTATAAACCCTCACGATCCTCCTCCTCCTCCACTCAGGCCTCAATAGGAAAAGCAACACCATCGCACCTAAAAATATCTTCGCCACCTTTGCCAAAGACCCCCCTTTCTCCCCCTTCGCATTCGCATTCGCACCAATCGCAAATGTCGTCCGCACTTGCCTCCACAAAAGGGTAAACCTGCATCTGAGCCTCCTATGCAAGGCTAATATGCGCAAGACAAACAAATACGTCAACGTACGCAAAAGATCCCTCTTCCTGCGTCTCGAATGAAGGTGTTGCGGAGTACCACTTGCACCCAACCTAAACGTAGGCTGCGGGTGATTTGCAGATGCTTGCGGATTGTAAGCTGGGTAACCGAAGAAAGGGTTGTTTGCATTGTACGGTGAAACCAGACCGTCTCGAGCAGAGCGACGGGTGCGGTGCGAGAACAACATGTGCGCCAGATGTTGCTGTACAGGCGGCTCGTCGAGATGAGGTACTTCAAGATGAGCGCAAGAGCGAGTCGGGTGGATGTACATGATTGTTCCTTCTGCTTCTCGTTGTTTTTCGAGAGCGTCTTGAGGTTTGTAGTTCGAGCGAGAGGTAGAGGTAAAGTGTGTTTCGCTCAGACGTTGCAATCGATTCAAGAGACCGCCTTGGTTGGTGTTCGGTGGGGTGAGCAGTTCTCCATCTTTCCCGCTGGCATCTGAATCTTCGCTTTCACTGGGCAGGAGTGCTTCTTCATCTTGTTCGGGTAGGTAGAGCTTCAAGTTGCTAGTTGCACCTACTCTTCGTAGCGGGGAAGCCTCTCTGTCGCTGGAGAATGGCACATGTCGATCCGGATTGCTCCTGTCAATTCTCGGACTCAAAGGTCCAACTGGAGTCATAGCCGGCGTGACAAATGGACTTACTCCAGTACTAACACTTAAGCCAACCGCTCTACCATCAACAATCGATACTCTCGCATCAGAAACACTCCTGGCCCTACCGGTCCCCGCATATCCATGTTCAGCAGCAGCACTCGAAAGATCCCCCCTCGACATCTGCAGATGTTTCAACTTGCTAGCTGCACTAGGAGTCATCTTCCACCCGCTTGCGCCTCCGCCTCCTGCGCCCGCACCTCGCTCGCCCCTAGGAGTCGAGGGTTCGCTATGTCTCGGAGTCATCGCTCGACTAGCCCAAGGAGTTGAATGAGGCGAATAAAACACCTCATGGATGCTTTCGTATGAATTCGTCCTACTTATATGCTGCCCCACTCTCGGACTGATGGGTTCGCCATTGCCTACATTAGACGCAGCCGCACGTCTCGGCCTACTATATCTCGGCAAAACATCGTTACTACTCGCATCCACCTCGACGTCCAACTGGCCACCATAACACCTGGGGATGTTCTTCACATCGAAATGCTCCTTCAACTCGTCATGACTTGGAAAGAAAATCTTGGCCAAGGCCTGTTGCGGTAATAGGCGTTTGATCAGCACCCACATCCCCGCATGAACCCATCCATAGTTGAGAACGTAAACAGCACCGACCATTCCGGGAACATGGTTTTTAAGCAAGTCGAGGAGGAATGGGACAAGTTCCAGTTCGAGATTTGCTATTCCACTCGACTGCAAATCCACCGCTATCGATGCCTGCAGTACGATTTGCTCTTTCTTCCTCTCCCTCTCCCGCTCCCCTTCGCTTTCGCCTATTCCACTCGACTGGCGATACAAATCGCCCACATAGCGACGTATAATCTCCATACTCGCAACAATACACTCCCTCAACTGATCCAATCTATCCTCCCCATCCCTCTCAAGGGATTTCAAACTTACAAGGGCACAAGGTCTACCATAAAAATCTCTAAAACAGCTATTCATCCAAAACAACGGCCGCTTCCGCACCTCCGGTACCACATACAACGAATGCAAAGAATCCAGCGATACCAGATGCAAACCAGTCCGAATACGCCATACTACGGTAGCAGTAAGAAGGTCAAGTGCCTTTGATTCGTCGTATCTCGATCGACGGAAGAAACGAAAAAGATTACAAATGTCCCCTAAATATGCATCAATACCGCCCTTGCATTCTTCATCCACATCCATCTGGCAAGAGACAGATGCAACGATCTTCGTCCTTGCGACATTGTATAGCCTTTCGACCTCGGGCCGATGGACCAAGTATTTCGAAACAAGATCGAGATGTTTATCGTGCACTGCACGAGCGTTTTTCGAATTCAGTTGGAAGAGGGATGCCATTTTCAAACTACAGCAGAACGGATAACACCGTCAGATAGTTCGACGCTTAGTGTCTTTCTTGCCTGCTTGAAAGCGGTGCGAGTATATGTTGCCAGTGAGCGCAAGTAATGGTGTAAGATGTCCAGAGTAGTCAAGGTGATTGTGCGACAAGAGATGAGTTGGGTGAAAGTGTGAAAGCGACTCAGTTCCGATTACCGAGTCCGCAGAATCCCTCGCCTTGCGTGAATAATAATCGCCCGTGTAAACCTGAAAAAAAAAAAAAGAAAAAAAAAAAAAAAAAAAAAAAAAAAAGAAAAGTACTAAATCAGCACCACAGAAAAGATAAACGGCTCAATCGTCTGCTGATTGCATGCCAACGTTGATGTATAGAGATGAACAAAGAAATAGCCATCATGTAGAGTTACAAACATACATCCCCGACCAGCTAGTCGATGCCGCGCCCAGTCGTCGCTTCGAACGGAGTGACTGTTTCGTGCCTTGTCCTGTCTGATGTCTTTGAGAAAACAAACAAGATTCTACCCGGTTCGACTTTGTCCAGTTGAAAGCCATCAAGAGCTTCTAGCACCTTGGCCTTTGCGTGATGAGCTCCGTCGTCACTACGATGCGAAAAGGAGTGATCATCACTAGGCTCTCTCATGCTTCTGCTCCACTCCTCCTCCTCCTCCTCCTCCTCCTCGTCGTCGTCGTTTTCGTCGTCGTTTTGCTTCTCCGCTTTGATAGCCAGCATCTCGACCGCAGCACTGGGAAAGGTATCCGGATGTCTCTTGCGAATCAATTGCGCCAGGATATCATCCTCAGAAAAAGCATCGGGATGCCTTGTGCAGTCGTAATGCGCCCACTTGTACAGCGCGAGCAACTTGTTGCGGTTATGCAGCTTCTCCTTCGCCGCTTGATCGAGAACGTGCTGCGAAGCTGCAATGAAGCCTGGCAACTGTTCATCTTGATCATCGTCGCTGCTGGTGATGGAGCTCTGACTGGCGCTCGGCATGCTCGAATGCACCTGGCTGAGTCGAGCTGGTGAAGCACTACCTCCTTTGCCATCGCAATCGCAAACCAGCTGCCGATGGCTGATACAAGCCGAGTCCAAATGAAGCGTAAAGATGTCCTTCAACTCTTGCTGCGAAAACGTGTCCGAGGCTGATTTCTTCTCCGAGTCCATCAGCGAGTCGGATAAACCGAGTTTCGAGATTTGTCTCTGATAGATCTTTTCGTCCATCGTGCCGGAGAGCAGTAAGCGGTAGATGTAGCAAACCTTGTTCTGACCATCACGATGGATGCGCGCCATCGCTTGGAGATCCGTGGACGGGTTCCAATCGGAATCAATGAGTACTAGTCGATTGGCACCGATGAGATTCAGACCAACACCACCGCTCTTGGCGGAAAGCAAAAAGACAAAAGATTTGTCAACCGCTTGGCGATTGAACTGGTTGACCATGGCCATTCTCTCGTCTTGCGGCGTCTTACCGTCGAGACGTAAGTAGGAATAGCGCTTCTTCCTCACCATTGCCTCGACAGTGTCAAGCGTACTGGTAAAGCTTGACACCAGCACCACCTTGTCCTCCGTCTGTGCTCGGACAGTCTCGAGGAGATTCATGAGACAGATCAGCTTACCGCTGTACCTGGCCTCATTGCGCACAAAGTTGGGCGGAAAGAAAGAGCCAAGATGGCCAAGGAGCGCCTTTGTCGGTGTTTGCCCACTCGACTCGCAATCTTTCAGCAAGAGCTCCGGAGTATTGCACAGCTTTCGCAAAACACCAATTTGCAGTAGACCGTTTCCAGGCTCACCTTGCAAGATGGACCGTACATGGTTAGATGCCAAGATGGACTGGTAGATACGAAGCTGCTCCTGACTAGGACTGCAGAAGAGCACCATCTCCTTCTTGGGTGGCAAGAAATCGACGAGGATGTCGGCAGTGCGGCGAAGAATGACGTCGTTGGTGAGACGCTTGAGTGCAGCAGCACGAGCTTGACCGGTAGCTTGGATTTGTCTGGAACAGTGCGGGGCGCGAGAGCGTATTATGGGCTCCTCAAAGATTCTCCTGAACTCGTCGTAGGTACCGAGTGCCTCGTCGTCGACAAAGGAAACCAAAGCGTGAAGTTCGGAGAGATGGTTCTGGATGGGTGTACCAGAGAGGATGATTCTGCGGTTGCAAAAGGAAAGGTCGTCAAAGATGGTAGTGATTTGAGCCTCCTTGTTCTTAAGTCGGTGACCTTCGTCGCAGACGATGAGATCGACGGGCGGATTTGCATGCTTGACGATCTCGATCACGGTTCGGAGCTTTTCGTAACCAATAACCATGACATTGTAGCTGCTTGAACGAGCGAAGCGCTCGACATCTTTACGGCCCCGGTCTTGGTCGATAGAAAGAACGTTGAGAGCGTTGTTTCCGATCCATTTGCGAAACTCACGCTTCCAGTTCTTGACAAGGGTGAGCGGGCATACTACAAGGGCACGATGGATGGTGGCTGACCTGGAGGTGTAGTAGCAATTCTGCTTTGCTAGCGTGAGAATGAGTGCGATGGTCTGGAGCGTCTTACCAAGACCCATCTGGTCTGCTAAGATGCAGCCTCGACCTTTGTCAGAGTTGGCATGCATACCCATGACGCGCTCGTAGAGGAACTTGACACCTTGCACTTGGTGAGGTCGCAATGCTTTGGCGAGCTGCGGGTCGAGCACGACATCTACGATCGGATGCCCTTTTGTGTTGTACTTTTTCTGGTGGGCGGCGTCGGGTCTTTTCATCACGATAGCGTCGGGATCGTTGGGGTCGAATCGCGGGTGGGGTGTTTTGCCTTGACCTGGATCGACAAGGCCGCTGGGTCTGGATGGGTTGGCAGAGCGAGAGTCGGTGGGATGGTCGTCGAGGCTTTTTGCTATGGGACTGCGTGCGGGTTTGCCGTAGAAGGTTTCGACTCGAGCAGGCGCGAACTGGTTGATGTCGACTGGCCTCCTGATCGCCGATGGTTTGATGGGCACTGCGAAAGGTTTCGGTGTGCGTACTGCTGTGGGTGGAGGTGTCTTTTTGACAGGGGAGAGCTCACCACGGGTGAATGCTGTGAGCTTGCGGTATTCGCGCTGGTCGATCTGCCTGTCAATCTCGACCTCTTTGCCACCAAGTGCCAGCTGGTCGCCCGATGAGAGCTGGTTGAATGGGAACCTGGCCGAGGCTACAAGCTCTTTGCCAGTCTCGGAGCAGATGAGGCTGCAGCGCTCTCCTCGGTCCTTAAGGACGAGTATCGCATCTCCATCCCATGTTTTGTGCTTCTTTGCTTGCGGTTTCCTCCATGTGCATAGGTAAAAGGGGCCGGCGGCTGCTGCTGGGCTATGTTCACTGGGTGAGACTGAAGCGGTGGTAGCTTGGTCAGAAGAGTTGCGAGCGAGGAGAAAGGCATGCGAGGGTGGTGTCTCGTTGCTAGCATCGGCAGGCGATGGTACGGGATCGGCGTCACCATCTTGGTCAAACGGCTGTGTTGGAAGTACCAGTCTGGCCCTCTTGACTGGTGTGGTGGAGGATTGGAGGAGGACTCGTGAGGGAGAAGCAAAGCTGGAGCTGGCAAGTGCACAAGGGAGGGCCCGTTTGAGACCGAGTGTAGCTCTCGGACGAGGAGGTTTGGCTTGAGCCGGATCCATGGCCATGAGCAACTTGGAAATGTCGATATGGATGGTGGTAATCGTTGATGGTGATGGTGGTAGTGATGGTGGTAGTGATGGTGGTGGTGATGGTGGCAAACGACGTCGGATGTGTCCGAGTGGGTGAGTAATGCTTTCGGGAATGATCCGACTGCTGAGCAGCTCAGGTAAAGTGCTGAGCAGCTCTCCTCTCTCTCTCTCTCTCTCTCTCTCTCTCTCTCCAGTGAGACTCAGCCTGTGGAAAAGTGTCCGTGTGTTGGTTCGGCGCTTTACGCGACGCGTGTTCTAAAGTCACCTCGTCCCCACCATCTTCTGTATAATCACAGTTGGCGTTGTGCTAAGAGAGAGTCAAAGAGTTAAGTTTAAATACACCGATATGGAGGCCACTAGCAGGCACTCTCTCAATCAGGTAGTCTCAGATAAAAGGCTTCTATTGCTTATTGTATGATAGCAACATGACTTGGAGTATATATACATGCTCTGGGCACCCATCTGTGCTTACCTTGTCGAGTCATTCCCATATGCCACATATCCACTTTCATGAGTGTTGTCATGTCAATGTATTAGTCCCCACTAGCTTTGCATTCTGCTTGTCTTTCCTTGTTGTTCTGTTTCTTCCTGATTTCCCAAACCTGTGTACTCCTGTTTGATACATCATGTGTTGGCAATGCCAATGCATCTTCAACTCCCCCCCTCAATGGCATATCCAATCCCATCATTTTTGATATCCTTGTTGTGTTGAGTCCCTTGAGAGGCTTTGTGAGTATGTCAGCCACATTGTTGACTGTCCCAACAAACTCAATCGATATGTCACCATCTTGTACATGATCCCTGACAAAGTAATATCTAGTGTCGATATGCTTGAGTTTCCAGTGCTTGGCCAGGTCCTTGCTGACCTGTATACATCCTTGACTGTCAGTGTACAAGACTGGTCTGACTTCCATGATTCCTAAATCCCTGTGTAAGTATGAGAAGAAAAGGGCTTCTCTTGCTGCCTCTGATGCAGCAACCAGTTCTGCCTCCACTGCCAACAATGCTATGCACTTCTGTATGTGCAACTTCCAGCTGACTGGACATCCATATACATATGTGACTGCCCCAGATGTGCTCCTTCATCCATTGGTAGGGTCCAAAGCCCAATTTGCATTGGTATATGTGACCACTGGCTGTTTTGCATGCTTCTTATGCTTTCCTCCAAGCTCCAGGTGATATTCGCTTGTTTGGTTCAGATACTTTAGCAGGTGTATCACCACTTGCCATGTGCTATCGATTGGCTCTGACATGTGTCATGCTAGAACTCTGACTGTAAATGAGATATCCAGCCATACCATGTTAGACACCCATAGCAATTGACCCACCAACTCCTGATATTGCTTAGCTCACTCTGGAGTACATTTGCTTCCTCTGACAGTGTTTGCAATGCTTTGCATTGGTATCCATGATTTTTCATTTGGCTTCTCCAACCATTTGCTTACCATGCTTTTAATGTATGCTGTCAGATTGAGTGAAATTTTGCTTTGGCTCCTATCTCATGTGATCTTGATACCTAAGAATTCCTTCACTGGTCCATTATCCTCTGTCTCCCACTTGCCCATGATCTCTGCTTTGGTACAGTCAACTTCCTTCCAGCTAGGTGATGCAATGAGCATATCATCCACATATGCTGTTATCACCATAAGTCAATTGTCTGTCCCCCTTGAGTACAGGCATGAAGTGCTCAACATGCAGTGAAAGCCGATCTTTTGCAAATGCATGTCTAACTCTATGTTCCACTCATGGCCTGATTGTTTCAGGCCATAGAGCCCTTTCACGAGCTTTAGTACCTTCCCTGGCTGCACTTTCATTCCAATGGGTGGCTTGAGGTAGACATTGTGATGTAGACTCAAGTTCAAGTAAGCCTGCTTTACATTGATCATGTCGACCTCCCAGCCCCATATGGCAGCAATCACTAGCACTCCTCTGATCAATTGGATGGGTGCCATGGGTGCAAAGATTTCTGTATAATCTATGCCCTCCCTTTGCATGAACCCTTGTGCTACTAACCTCACCTTGTACTTCATGGGAACCAGGTTTGCATCCATCTTAATTTTCAACACCCAACACATGTTGACTGTGTTCATATCATGCAGTAAGTCAGTGGTCTCCCATGTATTCATTGCTTCTAGCCCTTTTAGCTCTTTGTGCATTGCTTCCTCCCAGAACCTCTTGTCCTCTCCAGCCAGTGCTTCCCAAACAGTTGGGTTGAGATTCCTTTCCTTCTTCTTAAGCCCTGTCATCACTAGCCCAAAAGAAGTTTGTGCTTTGTACCTTGGCTCCTTGTGTTCCCCTTCTCTCAAGGTTGTCTCCATGCTCATGTATTCATTCAAGGGGTCTTGATCACCCTCATTGAAGAGGTCCTCCTCCATGTACCCCAGATTAGCTAGGTCCTCCTCATTGTTTGGAACTGGAGGCAATTGAATGTTCACTGGCTTCCATTCTGTTCAGTCTGACCAGCATTGGGTTTCCATGAACTTCACCAAGTTGCTCCAGAAGATGTTTGGGCTGTAGTCAGGACTGTAGAACAGCCATCCCTTTCTCTCCAAGCTGTATCCTATGAATATAGCTGGGACTGCTCTCTGATCCAATTTCTTGTTGTGTCTCTTGGCTTTTGGGACATTCACCCAAGCCAAACATCCAAACACATGCATGAGGCATATGAAACATTCTGGTGACTTTCTGAACATCAGCTGATAGGGGAACTCTCCATCAACGTTAGGGGTCAGGTTCATCTTGAATGCCGCTGCCTGGATTGCATATGGCCAAAAACTCTTTGGTAGATTTCTCTGTATCAATAATGTCTGCATCTTCTTGCCTAAGCTCCTGTTCATTTGTTCCACTTGTCCATTTTGCCTGCTATTGTACCCCACAGTGGTCTGCCATTCTATCCCTTTCCTGAGCATCCATTCCAGTGCTTCGTTGTTCCTCCATTTGGTCCCTTGATCAGATCAAATTGCTTTCAATGTTCTATTCATCTGCATTTCTAGGAATAAAATGATTCTCTTGAGCTGCATGAATGCATGACTCTTCCATAATAGTGGCTGTACATGCATGTACTTGCTATAGTCATCGACCAGCACTAATATACATGTGTACTCTGTCACATAGGATGAATCAATGATTAGATCGATATGGATGGGGTCCAGGGGCCCCATGGCTCTCTTGCTGCTACCTTGCCCCATCCTGGCAACTGTACTCTTGGATTGTATACATGGCTCACATGTCAGAGCTGTGTTTGGGTCCAATGCTTCTACAGGTTCACCTCTCAATTTGTTAATGATTGCCCTGGACTTATCTCGACCTGGGTGTCCCAGTCACTCATGCCAGAGCTGTTTTGTGGAAACTTTTGGTCTCCATTCAGCTAGCTCAAATTCTTTGTCAACCCCTTCAAACAGCAGTGTTGATGCAGCCATTGCATTTTGTTGCCATGTATCACCTCATATCTCTAGCAATCCACTCTTGTGGTTCTTTACTATTTTTAGCAGCATGCCATCTGCCAAATGTATTTGTCCCCCTTTAGGGTCTAAGGTCACATGTGCTCCCTCATCCATCAATGAGTTGGTTGACAATAGATTAATGTTGAGGCTGTGAACATAAAGAACATTTTGAAGCAGTATCTCCCCATACTCTGTTGATATGCTAACATCCCCTACAGCAGTCACTTCTAAGACTTTGCTTCCAGCAGTATATATGCACTTTCTGCACTTTCTTGGATGGATCAACATGCTGTAGTCATTAATCATGTGGAAGGTTGCTCCCGAATCCAGAACCCAATGGGTCGATTGGTCTGGTTTTGGGGGCCTTTGCCAACTCGGGGCAAGTGGGCACCAGACTTCCTATTTAGTCTGGGCAAGAGGGGAGTTCTTGGGGATGGTGACAGTGGCATTGCACTTTCTGGCACCATGTCCATAGTGTTTGCACACCCAGCAGTGAATCCTCCTTGGTCTAGTCTTAGCCTTTGAACTTTCAGCATCCTCATCAGTGTTGCTATCCTGCTCGTTGCTACCAGCTGCTCAGGTGCTTGCCTGTCATGGATCCACCTTTTGGGCAGGGATGCTTTCGATTGCAGATTGGTGCATCATCAATGCTGTGGCAAGGACATTGAAACTAACTTGATGGATGGTGGTGACCATTTCTTTGTAGACCAGATGCCAGATCATGCACCTTTGGAGTGCTGCATATATGGCATCATCACCAAAAGGTGCTCCCAGGAGGCTTGTCTCCATCTGCATGACTCTAATCTCTTGGATTAGCTTCTGTGCATTGGCATTGAACATCTTGACTTCATTGAGTTGAGTGAGGAGTGCAATTCATTGCAAGGTCCTAGTAGCTTCACTGGTCAAACCCTTTTTGATCTTCTTCCAGGTCTGGTGGAAAGTCAAATATGTCTTACTAATGTCGAGCAATAAGTAGTGAGTGTTGTACTCTCCTTCAGTGTCTAGGGTGCTATGTAGCACACCTGCTAAAGTGTTGTCAAAGGTTCTGTTCCATTTTGGATGATCACTATCATATGTGCCTTCCAAGTGCTGTGTGGCATGAGGAACAACCCTGAGAGTGGCCTTGATGAGGGTGCTCCAGCTATAGTAGTTTTGCAACATGAGTTTAGGGACTGCCTCCACGATCTTGGCTAAGGTACAGTAGTCATACCACTTGTTGTCATTGTCGGAGTCTGACTCCTCTTCAGCTTCATTAAACTCGTTTTTGTTGCCGTCAATGGCCTCGTCATTGATTCATACCTGTTGGGCCACCTTTCCCTTTCTTCCTCCTTTTGTCTTCTTAGTCACCTCACCAGCTTGGTGATCTCCTTCTCCTGCCATTATGAATGTCATGGGTTTGAGCCCCATGTTGGGAGCCAGTTAAGTTTAAATACACCGATATGGAGGCCACTAGCAGGCACTCTCTCAATCAGGTAGTCTCAGATAAAAGGCTTCTATTGCTTATTGTATGATAGCAACATGACTTGGAGTATATATACATGCTCTGGGCACCCATCTGTGCTTACCTTGTCGAGTCATTCCCATATGCCACATATCCACTTTCATGAGTGTTGTCATGTCAATGTATTAGTCCCCACTAGCTTCGCGTTCTGCTTGTCTTTCCTCATTGTTCTGTCTCTTCCTGATTTCCCAATCCTGTGTACTCCTGTTCGATACATCATGTGTTGGTGATGCCAATGCATCTTCAACTCAAAGCCACTGTTAGATCGCGATGCAATCACAAATACGAAAAAGAAAAAGAAAAAGAAAAAGAAAAAGAAAAAGAAAGAAATTGTGCAAGAAAAGATGGCATCGAAATTTGCTGCCACTCGCTGCCACTGAGCAGCAGCAAAATGACAGCTTAGAATGAGGAAACAAGTGACACTGAGCGACGCTTATCGGGAGATATCAGTCTAAGCACGGTGTTACTATATTGACATGGAGAAAGAATGAAGTGGGAGCCTCGAGCTCTCCGCTTGATATATATACAAAGTGTCGACACATACCCAGGGATGGGCGGGATCCTCCTTAATGACCAAGTACTACAACAAGTGGGGAGACAGTTCTACCCGATCCCCGATCAGATCGGCTTTGCCCGATTGCCTATCACCACCAAGACCATTGCCGGTCGACGTCATGGCACAGAGGCGGCTTATCTACTGCGACAAGCGAGAGAGGGAGAAAGGGAGAAAGGGAGAAAGGGAGAAAGGGAGTGAGGGAGTGAGCCAGTGTGAGGGAGAGAGAAAGGAGAGAGAAAGGAGAGAGAAAGGAGAGAGAGGCGAAAGAGGAGAGAAGCGATTCTTGGTCAAAACACGGCTTCTAATCTGGAACACACTGTTCCAGTGGCCCGATTCAGCGTGTTCTGGCGTTGGAGCGTGTGTCATCGGAAGTGGAGGCGAGCACTGTCTCACTGAGTTTTAGGCGGCCACAGAGCACAGACCAGATCGAAGGCTTTCCTCTGCCAGATAGTTAGATCGCCTCGGATCCACGGCTTCCTTCTTGCCTCTTGACCACCACCATCCGAACCAATACCCCAATACACCCCCCCCCCCTCGTCGACCACAATGACCGACGCACACTCTACTGTCACCAGGGCAACCTCGCTCAGCAGAAAGTCCACCGTTGCCAGCCGCAACGCTTCCCTCATCAAGAAGAACACTGGCCCTCACGAGCTTCGTCCTTCCGACATTCTCATTGAGCGTTTCACTGGTAAGTTTCGATCTTGTTATCTTTCGATCTTGTTATCTTTCGAGCTGCTAAAGGCTGCCATCCGCTCAGAAAACAGCAACTGACAATCCCCTTTTTCCCCCCCTCCTTCTTTGGCCGGCTGACAGGCTGGAAGCACATCACCAAGCAGCTCATCAGCTACTTTGAGGGTATTGCCGACATCGAGTACAACACTGCCAAGGAGCTCACTAAGCTCGGTGGTGTCATCCAGGTCCCCTTCCGCGAGGGCAACCAGTTCCTCGGCGAGGACGGTATCCAGGACATCTACTACGGAATTCGTGACAAGACCCGTGTCATTGCTGACCACCATGCCAATCTCGCCAAGACGGTTGAGGGCTCCATCGTCCAGCACCTCCAGAAGCTTCGTTCCGAGATCAAGGCTCACATCAAGAATGTTCAGCAGGACACTGGCAAGCTCGCCAACTCGGTTGCCAAGGAGCGTGAGATGTCTACCAAGATGATCACCGAGCTTGCTCGTTCCATCACCTTGCTCAAGAACACTCCCATGAGCGTCACTGCTCGTGAGGACCCTTACGCTGCCAACCAGCAGGTCTTCCGTCAGCTCCAGCGCCAGGTCAACGAGGAGAATGCTCTTCAGAAGTCCATCATCATCATGCAGCAGAACTCGGCTCACTTTGAGGAGGGCATCGTTCGCAGCATCCAGAGCGCTTGGCAGACCTTTGACGAGTGGTCCGGTCGCATGTCCGCTCACGTTCAGGACACCTGGCTCAGCTTGGGCGTTCAGATGCGTTCGCTCCAGCCCAACTCCGAGTGGATCGCTTTCGCCGCCCGTTCCGACCACCTCCTCGACCCGGACACTCCTCTTCGTAACCCCGAGACGATCGACTACCCCGGCAAGGACGACCCTTCCGTCATCCCCGTTCACCAGGGAATCCTCGAGCGCAAGAAGCGTTTCACAAAGACCTACAAGGAGTCCTTCTACGTCCTCACCCCTTCCGGTTACCTTCACGAACACGGCTCTTCCGACCCTACCAAGCACCCTCAACCCGAACTCTCGCTCTTCCTTCCCGAGTGCACCCTTGGTCCTCCTTCCACCATGGCTGCCAAGAGCCACAAGTTCCACATTGAGGGTCGCAAAGTCGCCGGCAACCAGTCTGCTGTGCCATCCAAGGGTCTTGCCAGCCTCGGCATGGGTCGCGAGCATGCCTACACCTTCCGTGCTCGTAGCCACGAGGAGATGATGGAATGGTGGAACGACATTAAGCAGCTCTCCAAGGTTTACCTTACCACCTCGGAGCAGATGGACCGCTCTGGTATTGTTCCTGCTGCCGTCCGTGCTGCTGGCTACCGCTCCGAAGATGAGGAGGACGAGGAGGAGGACGAGGCTGATGGCTCTTCCATCGAGCAGGAGGACGATGAGGACGAGTACCATGAACATGAGTACGACCAGGCTGAGCATCACAACGCTGAGCATCACAACGCTGAGCATCACAACGCCGGTCACCAGGCTGCTCCCGCCCTTGCTGGTGCCTCGCACACCACTGGTGCTGCTCCCGCCGCTTCCTCCTCGGCTGCTACCAAGGAGGAGCAAGTCCCTGCCTACTCCGGTGGAGCTCCTCAGGGTGAGGTTGGCCCCAACGGCTACCTTCTCGAGAAGAAGGGTGAATCTGCTCAAGCAGCTCAACCTTCGCAAGACGGCTTGAACCGTAGCGCTAGCTCCGCTGGCAAGGAGAAGGCTGCCGAAACGGAAGCCACCACGGAGGCATAATTTTGCAACCCTTTTTGAGCCCAATTGTCCCCCGAGTCATGGCTTGAAGAAACAGAGCTTCCTCCTCTTTGTATACGTTTCTTGTATCATCCTTTTCTATATTCTTTGTCCATCTGTGTGTATCGGTTCGCTTGCTCTAACTCGCAACACAAACAAACATTCATCTTATGTCGAAGGAACTATATACTATTCAAAAAACACAATAACCAAAACAAATGCTAAGGAAACACAAGAGAAGCAAGGTAATATCTAAGTGCAAAAGCCAAACAAGAAGCAGCAATCTGGAAAAGCATAGTATGCATCCACAAAGCATACTCAGTAATACATGGACCAGTAAAAGGATTCTCTCCCTCTAAAAGGTTACTTGAATCTTTATGCCTTACGCCTCTCAACACTAGAATTGCATTGAGCAATGTCAGGTTGGTAGTACTTTTCATCTTGCCTCTTGCAGTGATGTTTTGCGTTGGATGATAGTCGAGTTGAACAAGTCGAAGTGTTGCAAGGGTTTGCAATATGAGTGTTGTAATGCGACTTGGTGGGGGTGGAGGTCGAGTGGATGTTGGCGAGGAAGCTGTATCGGGTTTTGGTGGGTCTGATGGGAGGTATTGGATGGATGGATAGAGAGAGTTGCTGATAGCATCGTATTTGGGCATGCGATGTCTAGGATTTGGAAGCAGACCAAAAAGTTGCGGACAACTGAGAAGGAAGTTGAAGATCTGAGGAAGAAAGAAAAGTAAAACAGTTTTGCTAAAGTGACCAAGGATAGCTACTGTAGAAAAGACGATACCTGCGAAATAACAGAAAGTGTCTCCTACAAAAACCCTTGCTGGATATCTGTTCCATTTGAGCAATGCAAGACAGACGCCCATAAGCGGCAAAAGGAGATAAAGGCTGAAAAGATGTCGTCGAAGCAACTCTTTACTAGATCGAGAACCAGGCATACCAGCGCGACTGTCGAGGTAAAGAAGATCATTAAGACAAAGCGAGATGCAAATGACCAGTGCCTGACCAACCTCGACGCCATTGATACCAGCCAAGATGTTGATGCTGTTGGTGCAAAAAGTGGAGAGCAAGGACATATAGATGTAGTAAAGAGGGCCAAGTTCAACGATCGAACTGCGCAACCAAGAGCGAAGGAAACTCGGCCAACCAGGAACCACAACCGAAGTGCCACCTCCACCTGCATAGTAGACCATCAACAAAGGAATGCTCGAGATGATAGGGATTGGAAGCTTATACCTCCATCTGATATCGAAAACGTCGTCGAGGAAACCTAGGATGATTGCCGAAGAGAAGGATAGCAGGGCCGAAAGGAAACTTGCTAGTTCGTGATGCGGAAATCCACCTCTTCCGTCCATTCTTCCTTCCCAATCATCACCGCTGCTGTCCACGCCTTGAAGACGAGAGGAAAAGTAGCGCAAGGGGATGAAGAGGAATAAAAGTGCCATGTATACTGCTGCTGCGGGTAAGCCAAGCGATTCGGGAATGAGTTCCGCGCTGTTTTTGAGCAGATCACGACCTTTGAATCCTCTTGCGTGAAAGACGTTTTTGGTGTTGCAAATCGCAATACTCGTAGCCCAAAATCCAACCAGGGAGAGACCAATAGCAGCAAAAAGACCGGGGAAGGCATCATCATAGTATACGATCGCCTCTCGTTGATGAGGAGAGACAAAGACGTTGAGGATTCGGGTGAGAAGTGAAGGTTGCCATTCCAGAAAAAGCAGCGAGAGAAACTCGAATGGTGGCCAGTTGGGTTTGCTGAGTCCCGATGCTTCGAGTTGTAGCAATGGCGGCAAGAGGAGAGCTATTGAGCCGAGTGGCAGCACGAGGGCTGCCGTGATTAGCGAGGACATGCGCAGATGCCTGCTCTCCTTGCAGCGACGTCAGTTGTGTTGGTGGTGAGAAGGAGACATTATCTTGATTCAGGGTCCGCATTGATATGTGGAGTTTTCCATGGCCGAGCATGTTAGATCGCCATGTCTCCTTTTTGCAGCAGCCGCTCACTCTATCATTTGGGCTAACATCATAGCAAAACACATGGGTTCATTGCCAAACTGATGATCTCATCGACAGGCCAATATCCTCTGATAGAACGTGAGGAGGACGGGTGATACATATACAAAGGTGGGAGCATTCCACTTAATGAGCCAGCAGTGCCCCGATCCCGCACTATATCGGCTCGTCCCAATCTCCGATCAGATCGGCTTGGCCCGATTCCTCCTTCCTCACCAGATCGGTTCGACGCGATCTCTGATGACATCGACTTGTGTCACTTTGACTTTCTTTGCTGGATTGTGTTTCCTTGAGCATCCTCAGCTGGGCCACATTTCTCAAAATACGACAAGAAGATGACGAAAGAATGTCTTCACAGCCATGGACTTGCAGCACTCCAGCTCTGAGTCGAGGCAATGCCGAAACATGACCTTCGACCCGCAGCTCTAATGACCTCTGCAGAACAAAACGACGGTCCTTACACGAACCAAGCCGCTGCTGCGTCTTTAGTTGCAAAAGAGCCGAGCACGCCAAAGAGTGCCGTTGCTCCTCCGAAGAGAAGCTCGCCCCCCTATCTAGCCCATCGATGAGCATGTGCCGGAGGGACGAATCCAGACTAGATGAATGATACAAGCTTGATGTCGCTAGGCTATGACTCAAACCCCGGTCACGCGAGTACAGTTGCCGAAGCAAAACACTCCAAGACACGGTGCTCTTAAGACCCAGCATTGTTGCCTTGATGGCGATAAGGGAAGGTGTCAAACGTGGAAGGAATGGAAGAAGGAAGAAGGAAGAAGGAAGGAGGGCGAGGGCAGAGGGGAGATGGGAGATAGGAGATGGGAGATAGGAGATGGGAGATAGGAGATGGGAGATAGGAGATGGGAGATGGGAGATGGGATGGTCAAGATGAGAAGTAAGCAAGGAAAAGGGAAAGCAGAGGGCTCACCGAGTCATCACAGACAAGTCACGTAGCCGTGTGGATCGACGAAAGCAACTGAATGGCGATGCTTTCTGTTCGATGCAGATCAAACTAGACGACATCCTCAAAGTCGTCCATGCCATCGTCGTCATCGTCGCGGTTCCCATCCGCGGCTGTTGCGGTATCGCCTTGCTCCTGGGCTGCTGGCTTGGCTCTCTTGTTCTCGGCTTGGCTACCTGATGGTGATAGTGATCGCTTGCGCTGCTGCGTTGTGTCCCTTGCTGGCTCTGGGACGGGCTCAAAGTCGTCAAACTCTTCCTCCTCGACCTCTGGTACGTCGCTGGGCTTGGAGGATGCAGCTGCTTCTGCAGTCTGAAGACTGGCGTATTGTGCATAGTAATCGTCCTCGTCGCCGTCTTGGTCGTGCTTGCCTTCTTCGAGGTCGAAGGTGTTTGAGGTTTGCAGACGCTGCTGTTTGCGACCGAGAGCGGTCTGCTCGCCGCTGACAGTACTTGCAAGATGCCAGGCTGGAAGAGCATTTTGCTTGCGCTGCTCCTCCTCGGCTTTCTGCTTTGCAAGACGTCGAGCAGCTTCTGCTGCAGGATCGTCGGACGCAAGATCGACTTGAAGAGCGGGAGCGCCGTTCATGGTGGAAGAAGAGGGAGCCGAGGCAGCATCTTCGGACCTGGTGGTAAACCAAGGCTGAGAGGCAGCGTGCTTGGTGAGCCAAGCTGCAACATCGAGAGGAGGCAAAGTGATACCCTCGGTACGACGAAGTCCGCCGAGCAGCGTGGAGAGCTGTTCGTTGAATCGCATCAGACTGTCCTTGCTACGCTTCACGTCCTCGGCCTCTTCGTTGTCGACGAGCTCGGTGCTGCACCCGGGTGTTTCGCAGACAAAGAGATTGCGGAACATGTCGAGAAGATGTGCGACTTCAAGGGTCGAATACGACTTTTTGCAACGTGGACATACGTAGCCTTTGTTGTCCAGCTCGTTACGTAGACGCGTGTCAATCTTGTTACGGATGGACATCATTCGCCATTTGGTAACATCGAGGAAGAGCTTGAAGTCGAGATAGTAGTATGTGCGGGGAACGGTACGATTTGTGATTGCATCTCTGATCTCGTTTCTGCGAAATGTGCAGACCAGCTTGTCTTCCACCAGCTTGGAAGAGAGAGCAGCGAGCTCTTTGACCTGAATACCAAGACGATGGGCAAGGACGTCGGCGGGGAGGACTGTAATGCTGACAAGCTGATCCATGAGCACAATGTGACGATCTTGATAAAAGATGCGCGCGACGATCTGAGCCATTCTTCGGATGGTAGAAAGCTGCTCTTCGCTGGCAAGCTTGACATCCGAATCGTGGCCAGAGCGGCCGAGGCTTGAGAGACTCGACATGTTCGACCGAGTATGGACTTCGGGATCGGGGGATCTGCAAGGCTATATCGATGCGTGTTTACATCCTAGCCATCAGAATTGAAGCGGACAGATGGGGGCCGAGGATCAAGAGGAAAGATGATGCAAACGAGTAGAAAAGGAAAAGGTCAGACGAACAACAGTAACAGGAAGGAGCGAAGAGCCAATAGGCCTGCGCTTAGCTGAGGACCATGACCAAGAGCAGATGGTGGGTGGGTGGTTGGTGGTGGTGGTGGTGGTGGTGGTCGCTGGGCAAGTTTTTTTTTTTTTTTTTTTTTTTTTTTTTTTTCTCCCTGTACCACAGTTTTCTTTTGGTCGAGTTGAAGATGCGTCGGCATCCTAAACTGAACCACATGGTTCGCGGAGCACAAGCGAGACACCGGTGAGTCAGAGCTGCATGTCAACATGCATCGATATGCATGTGGGACATATAAGTACTTCAACAATAACACTCAGGAGATGGCAATGCTCAGGAGGCGACAACACAGGGGTGATATGAAGAATAGTTCATTATGATCTAGTATGGGCTGAAGATAGCAATCAAGTATATATATGTTCACATTGTAGCACCTATCAATTAAAAAACATTACAACCGTTATACACCTGAAAAGTTGAGCTTGCTAGTAGCTCCTAAACAGTTGCATTTTACCTGTAAATCTTCAACTGATTAAGAGTCTGAAGCTCTACTGACTGAGCTAGCCGGGACCATCAATAACATGGTACAAGAAACCGAAGCTCAAGCCATAGCAAGCAAGGTCAAAGGAGGAAGAAAGGGCAAGGCAACACAACTGCATGTTGCTGATAACGAGGCCACCAACAAGTCAGACACTGAGGCAATCGACGACAATGCTGATGAAGAAACTGACTCTGACTCAAACCACAATGACAATGATGGCAAGCAATACAACTTTTGTACCCTAGCGAAGCTACTTGAGCCAGTTCCAAAACTCACATCACACAACTACTATAGTTGGAGTGCCCATATCAAGTCTTTCCTATGATGTGTCCCCCATGCTATGAAGCATCTCGATGGAGCATATGACAAGAAACATCCCAAGTGGAACTGCATGTTCGATGATGCCTTAACGAATGCACTATGCAGTACCATCGATACCACTGGAGAGTTTAACATAAATTACTTGATTCTTGACATCATCAGGGAACATCATACATTCCATAATGTATGGAAGAAGATTGAAAATGGACTCACCAATGAGGCCACCGCCATATCTCATTGTATTGCATTGATCGCTCAGCTAGGAGAACTCAGGATGTACAACTCAGACATACAAAAGCTCATCCAAGAAATAAGAACCATCCAAATGGAGAGCAGCTTACTGGGAAAGCCATTCGCTGATGACACCCTGTTTTCAAATCTACAAAAGTGCACCATCTGACACCCAATGTACAAAGAAACTGTTGCTACCGTAAGCCAGCTTAGTTTCAGTGCCCTCGCCACCGCCCTATCCATCCGGCAATTGGCGATTGAGAACAACCCTGCTTCGAGGGTTGATCCCCACCAAGCTAGTGCCAGAGTCACTGGCAGCAACAACCAGAATGAGACACCCGGAGATGATGAAAAGGATGCCGACAGCACCAGTGCCAAGGTTGCCGCCAGACCCCGAAGGCTTCGATGTTGGGTCTGCAAAAGACCTGGACATGGGATCAGTCAATGCAATGCATCAGTGACTATACCAGAAAATTCTCCCCTTGCCAGGCTCAAATAGGAGATCTGGTGCTCCCTCACACATAGTTGGCCGAGCACTTTAGATTCAAAAGAGACTTCTCATTGGATCTTAGACTCAGGTGCCAGCTATCACATGGTAAATGACTATAGCATGCTCATTGGTCCGAGGACCTGCCGAAAGCGCATACTCACCACTGGAAGCGAGGTTCTGGAAGCGACTGCTATAGGAGATGCTAGCATATCAACAAACACTGCAGATGTTCCTCTCCAAAATGTATTGTATGTTCAGCATCTCAATGTTAACCTATTGTCAACAAATTCTCTGACAGATGAAGGAGCATGAGTGATACTAGATTCAACCGGAGGGCAAATATACCTAGCAAACGGCATGTTACTCAAGATGACCAAGAATCGCGAGTGAGGACTTTTGGAGTTCCGAGGTGACACATGGCAGGAAAATGCAATGATCACATCAGCATCATTATTTGAAGGTGTTGATGAAGATTTTGAGCATATTGAGAACAAAGTCAAGATATCCGAACAACAATTATGGCATGAGCATCTAGGCCATCTGGGCCGAGACAAAATGAGAGCCATCATCAACCATCTAAAAGGCGACCACCCAGCAAACCTAAGTCCAAACGCCACTTTGACATGTGAGCATTGCATCCAAGCTAAAAGCACAGCAGCTCGAATGGGTCAGGGTGGCGGAGAAAGGTCTGTCTCTCTGCTTGACCTCATTCATATCGACTTGATGGTCAATTCATCGCATGCAACAGAGTACACATGCACTTTGGTCTTGATTGATGACCACAGCAAGTACATGTATGTACAACCTCTATTATGAAAGAGCCACACTTTTAAGGAGCTAAAATCAATAATTGCATATCTAGAGACACAGGCAGGAAAGAGTTTAAAAGCAATATGGTCTGATCAAGGTACTGAATGGAGGAGTAACGATGCCCATGAATGGGCACATGATAAAGGCATAGAGTGGCAAATGACAGTAGGATATGATAGCAGACAGAATGGACATGTAGAAAGGACGAACAGGAGCATAAGTGAGAAGATGCAGGCCCTACTCATGCAGAGACGATTGCTGAAGAGGTTCTGGCCATACGCAATACAGGCCACGGCATTCAAGATGAATCTCACCCTGAGTATAGATGGCGAGGTCCCGTATCAGGCTATGTTTGGGAGATCGCCGGAATGGCTTATGAAGCTTCTATGTGTGTTCGGATGTTTATCATGGGTAAATATTCCTAAAGCTAAAAGAGACAATAAGAAGCTTGACCAATGGGCCGTAGCATCCATATTCCTAGGATATAGTTTGGAGAGAAGAGGCTGGCTCTTCTACAGCCCAGATTATAGACCAAATATTTTCTGGAGCAATTCAGCAAAGTTCATGGAGACCAAATGCTGGTCCAATAGGACGGAGTGGCGACCAGTGATTACACAGCCACCACCAGTGTTAACAAACGAGGAAGACTTTGGCGATCTGAGGTACACAGACGAGAACCTTTTTGACGAGAGGGAAGAGGAAGCATTGCAGGAATATATGGACATGGATAATGTCGATGAAACAGATGGAGGACAGACCTCAGACGAAGTTGCCAAGGAAGCAATCAAACACAATACCATTGCCAACAGATGGAATGATAATAAACTTTATGGATTTATGGCGACCAATGACAATGAAAGAAAGAACCTGGACCCAACCGTTAGCAAGGCGCTATCTGGAGAGGACAAGAAACATTGGGAAGAAGCAATGCGTAAGGAGCTGGACAGGCTTAAGGCCATGGGCATGTGGGAAGTCGCCAATCTCCTGAAGGGTATGAACACCATCGACATGCATTGGGTACTAAAGATAAAGATGGATGCCAACCTAATCCCAACCAAGTTCAAAGCAAGGTTAGTGGCACAGGGCTTCACTCAAAGAGAGGGTATTGATTACACAGAAGTTTTTGCCCCTGTAGCACCCATCCAGTCAATTCAAGGAGTTCTAGCCATGGCAACCATACAAGACTGGGAAGTAGATTGTGTCAATGTTAAACAGGCGTACCTGAACTTGACGTTACATCATAGTATCTTCTTAAAGCCACCACTTGGAATGAAGGTACCCCCTGGAAAGGCCCTAAAGCTAATGAAAGGCCTATATGGATTAAAGCAATTGGGTAGAGAATGGAATATGGAGCTAGACTCACACCTATGAAAGATAGGTTTCTATTGCATGCCGAGCACTCCATGCCTATACTCAAGAGGAACAGGCAATAGCATGACAATCATCACAGCCTACGTAGATGACATGCTTATAACATCACCCAGTTGCATGGAGGTAAGCCACACTAAGGATGAGATAATGGCAAAATGGGGAACAGAAGATAAAGGACCTGTGAAGGAGTTCTTAGGTGTAAGGATAGATCGAGACAGAATACGGAGAAGGATGACACTTGATCTAATGGCTTACATTAAGGCTATGGTGAGAAAGTGGCTACAAACAACTGATCTGAAGTCATGGGTACTGATGCAGAGCCTGACAGGTATTATGGGTGGCGACAAGTGCGACTCATTGGCAGCAAAACAGTACCAAGAATTAGTTGGACAGCTTTTATGGGTATCTAACACAGCATGGCCTGACATATCATTCACCATAGGAACACTAGCAAGATACATGTTGAGCCCAATGAGCAATGCATGGAAGGCAGCATTACATTTGGTGAAGTACCTCAATCAAACCAGCGAATATAAGTTACTCTTCGGAGATGAAGCGAACAAACACTCGGGACAGCAAATTGTTACATATACTGATGCAAATTGGGCATCAGACCCAAAGAATGGACAAAGAAGCACATCAGGGGGAGTAACATACATGTATGGGTGCCTGGTTAGCTGGAGATCACATGTTCAAAAGTGTGTGGCATTGTCAGCAGTCGAGGCTGAATTTGTAGCTGCTTCAGAGGCAACAAGAGAGGCTCTTTTCTTCTCATACCTTCTCAGGGACCTGGGAGTTGAGGCCCATCCACCAACATTGCAGACAGACAGTCAAGGATGTATCCAGGTAAGCAAAGACCCCACCAAGCATTGGAAGTTGAAGCACATCAACACAAGGTACCACTTCGTCAGAGACCATGTTCAGGAAGGAGAAGTCAAAATCGATTTCATCGGGACAACAGACAATGTCACAGACATCCTCACAAAACCGCTAAAGGGCTTGGCCACATCTCAGATCGCATGCCAAATAGGATTGATGATGCCATCGAGGGGGGGAGTTGAAGATGTGTCGGCATCCTAAACTGAACCACGTGGTTCGCGGAGCACAAGCGAGACACCAGTGAGTCAGAGCTGCATGTCAACATGCATCGATATGCATGTGGGACATATAAGTACTTCAACAATAACACTCAGGAGATGGCAATGCTCAGGAGGCGACAACACAGGGGTGATATGAAGAATAGTTCATTATGATCTAGTATGGGCTGAAGATAGCAATCAAGTATATTTATGTTCACATTGTAGCACCTATCAATTAAAAAACATTACCACTGTTATATGCCTGAAAAGTTGAGCTTGCTAGTAGCTCCTAAACAGTCGCGTTTTACCTGTAAATCTTCAACTGGTCGGCTCTGTTTTTCCAGAGACTCGACTCTGTCAAGCGTCGGTTCGGCTTCTCGCGCTCAGCGTAACGCATTTTTGGCGTAACGCAATTTTTGGCGTAACGCGATGGAATCGATCTCAGAATGTGACACTGCCAGATCGGGTGAGAAGAGGCCCGATCGATTAAGTATGCTGTCAGGGTCCAAGTCAGTCATTTCGCCTCAGTCTGCACGGACCCTGTCAAGTCAAGAATTTCGGAGGGCTGCCTGTCGCTATCTGATCCAAAGTAATGCTCTTGCTCTTGACGATACTCTTTCGCTCTCGCCCGTCTACCTATCTACCTCTGCTACCTAACTATTGAAGATCAACGTACGCTTCAAGCCAATCACTCGTCACTCGCTCTGGCCCTGAGGCTCTGCTGGACCCGCATGCCCATGCCGTCGCTCGCCTAGTCTTGCTCTCGTCTTCTTAGCTCTGCCAACCTTGGCTACGGCTTGATCTCCGCAAAAATGGCCATGGTACCTCCATTACCCTTCCACCTGGATACCTATCAGGGATGGTGCCCTTCGGAGACCAATCCCAAGATCGCAAAGGTGCCCAATGACATTTCGGCCGCCGACATGTGGACTCGCTTTGTCAGTAAGCGTCGTCCCGTCATCATCGACGGCTTGCTCAGGGACTCGGATTGGAAGGCGAACAAGTGGACTGATCTCGAGTATCTCAGGTCCGCTGCCGGTCAGGTTCCGGTCAAGATCGAGCCCCTTCATCCGCACGCAGGTCATTTCGGCACCTCAGTCAAACGCATAAAGCTCACCTTCTCAGAGTTCCTCGACATTCTCAAGGACCCTTCCAGTTCAGGCAAGTGCTACTTGACCACACAGTACCTCGAAGAAAGCGAGCAAGAGCATGCTTCCCAATCCTCTTCTCACAAATCTTCCACATCACATACCGACTCCGACTCGGACGATGATAGTGACAGCGAGCCTGAGCTTGACAACGTCTTACCTGCACCAACAAACGCCCTATCTAGCGACTTCCCTGCCAAACCAGAGCTCTTGGGCCATCTCGTCCTCCAACAGTGCAACCTCTGGCTAGGCAACAGCAAAGAGGGCAAAAGCTCGGGCCTGCATCACGACTTTCATGACAATTTGTACATCCTCCTCTCCGGCTACAAACGTTTCCTCCTCTTTCCACCCTCGGCACATCGCTACTTGCATCCTCGTGGCTTCATCGACAGAGTACACGCCAATGGTCTCATCGTCTACGCGCCGCCTGGCCAACTCCCCTGCTACATGCCTGGTCGCAAGCAACAGCTCCCCATCCGTCCAGATGGTCTCGTCCCTTCAGATGCTGCAAGATGGCGTAGAAAGGCTCGTCTTCGCATCAAACGCGAGATCGACGAACGCGCTGCCGCAGATGCTGGCGAAGGCTCGCGCGACAAGAGTCAGCGCAAGGGGAAAGCAAAACAAACAAGGGCACAAGAACTTGCTGAAGAGGCTCTTCTCCAAGCTGAAGCAGAGCTTCGAATTTGTCGAATGGACGAAAAAGGTATCGATCCCGAAGCCGACACATCAGATGAAGAAGACGACTACGATCTCGAGACAAACGCCAGTCTCAACAATCTTCTCAGTACGCTAGTCGCTTCCAATGGTGCTCAATTTGGCGACATTTCAGACGAGCAAGTAGACGGTAGCAACGAAGGTGAAGACGATCAAGAAGACCATGACAATGACAATGACAATGACAATGCCGATGACGATGACGACGACAATCAGGCGCGCTTGCTCTTGGCCTCTCTCCCAGCCACTATGAGGCCGCTGGCACTAGCAGCCCTTGCCGGAGATCCAGCTTCTACCGCCAAGCTCAAAGCATACTTGGAGAGCATCGCAACGTCGGATCCTTTCGACGTGCAAGAAGATTCCGATCCAGAGCAATATTTACATCACCAGCCTGACGCTCAGCCCCAAGTCGGGCCCAGTGAATCTGAGACCGAGGACGAGGATGAAGAAGCATCTGAGGATGATGATCAGAACACCGAAGAACTCATGGCAACGAGGTTCGTACCTTCGAATGGCGTCACACGCAAGCGCAAGGAGCTTTCCAATTCGGAAGCCGAGACAGGCCTTTCAGAAGAGGAAACAGACGAGAGCGAGTCCGAGACTGCAAGATCCGATGCTTCCCGAGGGCCTGTCAAACGCGTCAAGATTGCATCAGGCGCCGATAGCATCGACTTGAACCATTCCGAAGCATCGCCAGAGCAATCCGAGGATGATTGCCAGCTTTTCGACAGTCAGGCAGACGAGCAAGACTCGAGCGAAGAAGACGACCAGTCTGGACTCCCAGCCTTTGCAGGCGCTGACTCTGGCTCAGAATTTGGAGACGTAGACGAAGGGGAAGCTGAGCTCCAACGCCTCATGGTCATCGCTCAGGGACAAGATCCTGACGCCGAGTCTGAGTCGCCAGATGACGAAAGGGAGCCTCCCAGCTTTTCACGCATCCCACCTCATGTGTTGCATCGCTGCCTCAATGTGCCTGATGACCCCTCGCGACCTGTGCCGAAAGCCACAAACGGTTCCTCGGGCAAGCAAAAAGCCAACGGTCTTGCTTCCGAGCCATACAAGCTCATGCCCGGGTGCCCACCACCCATCGAGGTGTTCTTGAAGCCAGGACAGATGCTTTACCTCCCCGCAAGTTGGTATCATGAGGTCACCTCTTCGTCTTTGCCACCGCTTCATGATCAAGAGGAGTCTAGGGACAAAAACAACTCATCCAGCGAGGTTCACATGGCTCTCAACTACTGGTTTCATCCTCCGGATGCTCTCGAGTTCGAGCCTGTCGAGCCAAGGCAGGCTTCTCGCACATCCAACGAGATCACTGTGCCCGGCTTCGGCGTTGCTCTCGGCGACAGCGCCTTGGAGAACCGGGGCGACGGCACAGGAACTCACCAGCGGCCATATCGCGACGCCGAGGTGTGGGACGAGGTGGCTCGTGCCGTAGAGGATCAGATCAAGTTAGCCAAGCAGTCTGCCTGCAAGTGATCAATCTCATATGCCACCTGTCGAAGTGCAAAATTGTCAATCCCACATTCGATCCCCTTGCCATCTTTCATTTGCACCACACTCGACGTTGAGACGTCAAAAATCTTCTCCGTGTTTCTCGCTTGACATTCGAAGCGTAATATGAACATGAGGATGAAACGATCCGTTGAGAGGCTGTGCGTGGCAATCAAAATCCACTCTCCTCAAAAGCAACTAGACTTTGACCAAGCGTACCGTCAAAGAGCTTCCATACATCTGGCATGGATTCCAGCGCGGGCAAAATGTGAGCAAGTTGTTGCTGAGCCATGTTGACATTCATGCCAGCGATGTTGTTGGTGTGACTTGCCTCCAGCGACGTGCTCGGCGCTGTTGGGGTTGTCCAATTTTGCATTGCAGAGTCATTCTCACTGCTGTGTGGCATGTGCATAAAGTCTCTCCATCCTGAAGTATTCTTCATCAAACCTTTCGCATCGTCGTTGTCGCCATTCATTGCGTATGGAAGGCTATTTGCAGGGCTGGCACCCAAATTTGGGCCAGCATGGCTCCGGCCGCTGTTGTACGAGATTAACATGCTCGACAGTGAATTCGCCGCTTGGTCAGGATTGAAGCATGTACTATTGCCAGCTCGAGATGTCGAGTTGCCAGCCAACGGATTGAAGTTGCTCGATCCGTAGCCAAACGATGCGGTTGGAATAAGGCCAGTTTGTTCCTCGTCCGGTGAGACACCTTCGGCAAGTGAACAAGACAAATCTGATCGTGTGGTACTGTGGCTGAAGTGCGAGAACCAGCTGGCTTCCAGAGCCTGATCGTTTTTCCCCAAAGCTGTCCCGTCCGATGAGGAGGAAGCTGTCAGGATACCTTTGTGCGCATCGTCTTTGTCCTCGTCTCCGGGCAGACGGATTCGTTTGAGTACAGAATCAACTCGGTCTGTCGTCTTTCGCTTTTGCGGCTGTCGAGGCCGTTGATGATACCGCTCACCTTGCTCAAAAAGATCCCTCAGTAGCTGACACCCCCTTCGAGCGATTGCACTCTTGCCCGTGAGGCGCTCGAGAGCTTCGAGCGCTCTTTTCACTTCTTGGCCTCGCAAAGCGCGATGCGAAGAGGGCGAGGCTGGCTTGAACATATCTAGCGCTAGTATGGTGGCAGCTGCAACTGCGTGGTAGGGAATGGTCCAAAGTGCTCCGCCGTGTACGCGTGACTGGAGATCCAACTGCGGCCGTTGCTCCCCATCAGGTGTCAAGCCAAGACCGCGCTGAAGCTCATGTAGAACCGCGCGAGCTGTCTCGATCGAAGCATTGTGCGATAGCTCCCTTTCCTCCGCCGAGACATCTCGTGACAGGAAAGCACGGTGCATGACGAGAATTTTGTGTTGAACAGAAATGAAGAGGTAGTGCTGCAAGACCGTAGTGAAACTTGGCAATGAGGCGGGGCTGATTCGAGTAGATGCCGCCCGTTGGGGATCCAGACATGCTTTGAAGCGATCCGTAACCAAGCGCAGACGGTCTTCGTGATGCCGGACGAGCGAAAGAGAGGGAGTGTCGCGTGCCTTGTTGAGATCCTCAAAGAAATCGCAGACAATCTTGGCCACATGACAGGTAAATCGTTGCTTTGATGCCACCGTGAGCACATTGACCTCTCGATTGATCAGACGCCCCTCTTCGAGATCTTCATCTGAGCAGTTGTGCGGTAAGGGAGTGTCGTACTGTCCTTCTACGATCGAGAAACATCCACTGAATGCAATCGCAAAGTAGTCCTGCTGTGTGAACGCCCACCAGACGCGCTTGCCCACTTCCAAATCAATGATGCGCTTCCTCCAGATCGCGAACTGCCGCGGTGATTCGTCAGGAAGCCGGCAAGAGCCGGTCTCTTTGCAGTGAATGCCGGCTCGACGCAGCACTTGGCCGCGCTGCTCCGTACAGGCTTCTAAGAACCTTGCAGTACGACCCAAGGCGTGCAATCCGAGCGTTTGACCGGTCTTGATGCCGATAGCGAGTAGGGATGTCAGCAGATCACTGCCGCAGATGTTGTGTCCAGCGACGCAGAGGATTGCGATCGTCTGACAGCAGTATACTGATGGCTTCACCAGATAGTCGGCTAGCGAGAGCGACTCCATGGCAGCGTGCAGGAGGACGGAGGCGAAACGCATTCGCTCCGGCTCGGCGCCAAGGCAACAATATGCGCCTTCCTCTTCTGACATCTGATGAATGGCGATACTACAGATGACATAGAAAAGAGAAAGCCATGCTGGATCGATAGCGCGATATCCTTCAAAGTCATGACTATCGCTGCCTCCATGATCAAAGACGGTGGCCAGGAAAACTTCTAGTTCCCTCTCAAAGGTAGGGAAATGGACACTGCAATGCTGCCATGCGCCAATCTCTTTGGCCACAGCAACGATCCGCCTTATTGCAACGGGAGCCAGCGTGACAGCCCTGATGCCGTCTGTGAGGGACTTGGCAGCTGGTCTTGCAAGCAAGTTAGCGGGTGGCAGTTCGTCAGGAAGAGACCGCAGCAGGTATTCCACTCTGGAGGTGACTCGAGAAGGCAGACCGCGGCGTAGATGTTTGAGCAAACGAAGCCTCCCGTCGTGGCCTTGCTCGAGCGAGTCTGCTCCAGGGTGGTGGCTAGGTAGCGAAGAAGAGCTTGCAACGACTGAAGCCTGACCCACCAGACTCGGCCTCTTCGGGAGATTATATTCCGTCTCGCTGTCAGAAGATGGGGCATCAAAGTCGACGCCACGTCTTCTGTCTTTGCCCAGCGTCAGGAACTCGAGAGTGGTTGCCGCGTCTGTCGAGGCGAGCTGGGCGTTTCGTGCTTGCTGTTGCAATGCTGGAAGTCCTTCTGAGCGAGGAGCGACAGTGCTCGCTGTGCCGAGTCTGGTGCGGTCTGCTTCCTTCTGGCCATCTTCTAAACTTTTCCTTAAAAGGATCGGAGATGCGCTCCGAGCTTCATCGTTCCTTTGGGACGAGTTGCGATTCTGTATGCTGTGGGACCCAGCTTGGGCCCAACGTTGGCGATTCTCGCCCAACACTGAGATGACCTCCTCCACATCGTTGAGCCTGGCCTTGAGATGTTCCATGGACTCTGACTGCTGTGCATGTTGGTTGAGCCTGTGCTCGATGCGATCCAGCTGCAATTCAAGTCTTGAGAGCCCTCTGAGAAACATGTCTCCGCCATCGTGACTTTCCTGCTTCGAGTCGCCGTGGATGCTGACGACAGATGAGAGTCTGCATCGAGACGCTGGCGTGATGCTAGATTCGAGCTTTTGCCCGTCATCACTCTGCGGTTTAGGAGAACTGGAGAGCACTTGCGAGCAAGGTCCAGGGACCTCGTATGATGAGTCTTCGAGCCGACATTGCTCTGCTCTGCCACGTTTGATGCAGGACTGACATGGTACCTTCTTATCGCACTTTATCTTGCGTCGTGCGCATTCTGTGCACGACCAAGAGGGGCGTTGGCTTCTCTTGAAAGGCACCAGGATGGGCTTCAACTCCTCTCCGAATGAGCTACGTGCTTCCGCCATCTGGCATCGATTGATGACCCGCAGCCGAGCAAGGCGTCTCGAAGCTGCATCAAAGTCACAGTGAATACAGCCGCCGGCAAGACATGTGGAACGCAAGAAGGCCTTGACGGCAAGTTGGTTGCTAGCTCGATGCTGCAGAGAGTATGCTGGTGGAAGCCGCCGCAGATGATGGTATAGACATACGATAGACCCTCACCTCTTCCGCTCCAAGTCTTGGCGGTCAGCTTGTTTGGCAAGGCTCTTATCTCTCCTCTTGGTCTTCCTTATCAGCCATAACTGTTACACCTACACCCTCTGCACATTCCAGCAATTTTCATCCCGGTGTCTCCTAATCGACTTTTCCTTTTCATCAAGGTTGAAGCATCTCATCTCTCGGTGTTGAAGCATGTTGTCACATGGTCTGCACACAAGGTCCTGTGCAGAAAGAATCTAAAAGCAAGCATCAGCTGATGACAATCTGATTGGCCTAGCTGTGCATGTAATTCACAAGATCAACTGCAACCTAGGGTTTTGATTAATCTCCTTGGGATTGACCAGAACAAGCCTAGCCAGTAGGTCTCACCAAAACATGCCAACCAAAACCATCAGTACAGAACTGCTCATCCATCACATTGAAGTAATGGAGGATCAGAAGAAGGGGCCCCAGCACCAGAAGGCCAGGGAAGCATACAGGAACAATCACATGTGAGAAGAGGAGCAAGCTCAGTATCACACAGATGGTTACCACTCAGGGGGACATGCTCACAGCCACATAGAGCCAGCCACAGGGGCAACCACATGACCAGGGAGCATGACAATAGGGTCCAGCATGTGATCAAGGCATTCACAAGATAGGCAATGAAAAGACAGTCATGTCACAGGGCCAGCACAGAGATCATAAGCAGCCAGGCTGCACAGCTGCTGAAATGAGCTCAGTGCATCAGAAGTGGAACTGGTTGAGATCCAGGGGTTCTGACCAATCTCACCGAGAATGGTTGGAAAGCGAGCTGGAGAGAAACCTCATCAAGAATGGTCAGGAAGGATGGTGGGTACTGAGAAGTTTCACTGAGACTGGCCCGAGATGAAGTGGATCAACCAGCCCCATGACCAGATGAAGGCATCCCACCAAGATCAAAGGGATGGCCATTGAAAGCAGGGTACAAGAGACCTTGCCATCAGATGAGGTGGGAGGAGACCTCTGAGCATGATGAGGTCAACAAAGGAGGATTGTCACCTCAGCAAGGGAGTAGGGATAGGAAGGATAGGAGGGGCAGGATAGCCATAGGAGTCAGATAGAACAGGATGGATGGGGAGGCTGTACCCTGTGATGAAGGGAGGAGAGGGGCCACAGTGTTGTAGACACCATGGCACAAAGAGATAAATACACCCCTCTGTCATAGTGAATGAGTGGATCCAGCATCCACTCTATTCTTAACTAAACTATACTCTACTGTAACATATACTTAGTTGTTCTGTCATATAGTGCAATTGCAGGCCATTGCTACTAAGCCAAGTAGGTGTGTTGTATCACCTCTCACTGACATTGTCTGTAGGCAGTAGCTACTGCAGTCCAGACAATTGCCTCTCTGAAGGCAGTACTCACACTGCAGTCCAGGCTTCTCTTATTGATTCACCATTTGCTCATCAACACCTCAAACACTTGTGTCAAGTGGACAAACTCCATCCATACACTAAGGGCTCCACAGCAGGCAGGAACCAACTGTGCTGCACTACCACTGAACAGAGTGTTCACAGTGGTTAGCTGAAACTTGTCAAACAAATAATCCTTCAAGCAGTTTCAGTGAAAGTGGCTGACAGGTGCATACTCAAGTGCACTCACTGAAATTGGTTGAAATCACCCAGACTGGTAGTTCTCGGGTTCCAGGCACACGACCGCTGACAAGTCACTGGTTAAGAGTGGGAGACCTGTGTCAAGGAGACTGGGGTTTATCCATAAGGAGGAGGAGCAGTGTCAAAGAGGTCGACACATATCACCAGGTGTAGAAGAGCATGGAGGCTAAGGGGCAGTGTCAAACACTGTCCAGGCAGCAGAAGAGCAGCACTGAAGGAGCCAACACACAGCTCAAGGAAAGAAGAGTATTGTTGGAAAGGGGTGATAACCCTTTCTGACAGGAGCAGGAGAAGTGTCGCAGGTGACACTGAACAAACACATAAATACTCTCATTTCACCATAGTGTCATGGGACCGGATGCGCAGAAGCAGGAAAAGTAGAAGTCAGATGAGGAGGAGCGCAGGAATTGCAGGATCAGGCAAATTGAGGGTTATAACAGAGTTCAGCGAGATCTGTAGTAGAGAGGCTCTATGACAGAACTTGTCCAAATTGGCACAAGTGGAATCATATCACAAATCCCACTGGAATTGGTAGTATCTCAATCATAGGATAGATCTCACAGAAACTGGTGAGAGGATGCTGATTCCCACAGGTCTCACAGCAGGACAAAATGTTGAAGACATTGGGTCCACCACCCTGTTGAAGCAGGGGGCCAACCCTATGATGAACTCAGAGCAGGAGGGTGGGTGAGATGAGTGAGGAATGTGAGTTGCCACCCAGATGAAGTGGGAATAGCCCCTGTTGGTTATGAAGCAGCACAAGGACTGCCCATCCACAGGAAGTAAGGGGAATGGTGCCAACAAGCAGCATCATGCAAAGACAGGACTGATAGGGAGAACAAGAGGAGGAGGAGCAGTCTTAGAGGAAGACTCCCAGAGCAGAAGCAGGATCGCAGGCAACATTGCAGGATTGGCTATATAACCACACTTCTCATCATAGGAGTTGAGTGGATCTCCATCCACTCTACACCTTATATCACTAGTTATAGCTTCACAGAAAGTATAGTTAGTATTCCATCAACAGTTGCAATTGCAGAGCAATGCTTCTATCATAGTGCATGTGTTGTATCACCACTCATTGACATCATCCAAAGGTGGTATCAACTGTGGTCCAGATATTGATCAACACTGAAGGCGCTTCACACTGCAGTCCAGCTCTCTCAATCATAGAAACCAAAGGCAGATGTCCACTGCAATCCAGGGATCATCAGTCATACAGTTGACACACTGGACACTTGTGTTGAAGCAACATCATTAGCACCAGACCTTGGTGTCATCACAACATATCTATTGGTTATTGATCATGCTGAGCTACCTCTGGATGGAGTGTCCACAGCAGTTAGTCAAAACCTGCAATAACATTCAAGCTACTACATATTTGGGTGAGAAAAGTCATAGAAGGCTTCTACAACAGATTTCTGCAAGAATAATAATAAAGGCCTTTTACCAAAGATCTCGATAGGATCAGTAGTAGTTGTCTTTCTACTACAGATTTCGGGTTCCAGGCATGCGACCTCTGACAGGTGTCCCGTCCGATGTGTCCTGCAGTTAAACCAACATCACATTGAGACATCACCATGAATTGTAAGTGTTCAATGAAGAGGGATTGTTTGTCTACCTCTTGGGCACTTCACATCTTGCATTCATTGGTTTTGCCTGGCATGGTCACCTTTGGGATGACTAGGCACCTGTCTTTGCGCCAGAGCCTGTCCTTGAGCTCAAATGACAACTTGGCATGCATGTTTTCGAGCTCCTTATTGAGTGGCTGAAACATCTGTGGTAAACCTAGGAGCCCATGTGATGTGATTGACCCCATTGTTGGTGTGGCGGCTACTAGTGTTGAGGTTGCATCAGACTCCATTACTGTCATGACTCGGTCATGACCCCTCTCATAATTATCTTAGATCTAACATTGATAATTCATTTCACTGCAAAGAGTCTTAGACTCATCACATTGAGTCTTGTACTTTCAATCTCATAGTTTTCTACTTCCTTCTTCTCTTCTCTTTTCCCTTAAGGAAAAGAGATCATAAGTCACTCTCTCATTCAACTCTCATCTTCTCCTTCCAAAGTCTGGTAGTCTCCTCTGCCTATCGATCTCGCCCTCGTCGTCATTGTCAACCGTTGGGCCGGTTCGTGATAGTATCTCTTTTCCTTCCCTACCAGCCTTCGTCGCCATCATCCTTCTCTAGCAGCCATTGCCATCATCATCATCATCATCGACACTATCATTGTCATCTTCATCTTCGTCATCAACATCACCGTCATCAAGACCCCTTCTCCTCCTCTCTCGACTCTCAATCAGGACACCCTCTCTCCTCACCGTCATCGAGACACCTTCTCCTCCTCTCTTGACTCTCGATCAAGACACCTTTCTCCTCCTCCTCTCTCAATTCTCGATCAAGACACACCTCTCTCCTTGATCGTCATCAGACGTCCCTTTCTCCTCACAAGGCTCCACCATCATCACCTTCTTCGCCTTCCATCAACATCTGTCACTATGCCCCCTCCTAACCACTCCGAACATATTGAATCCCTGGAGGCCCAGGTTTAATCGTTACTCGCGGCCCTCAATGCTCACGATGCTCCAGCTCCCCCACCCAGTGAAAATGCTTCTGTTCAACAAGGTTTTCGCTCCAAGGAACCAGAGGTTTTCACAGGCGAGCGAGGTCACTGTCACAGGGCCAGCGCAGAGATCATAAGCAGCCGTGCTGCGCAGTCACCGAAATGAGCTTGGCACACCAGAAGCAGGACTGGTCAAGACCCAGGGGCTCTGACCAATCTCATCAAGAATGGTCAGACAAAGAGTTGGGTGTGAAACCTCATTGAGAATGGTCAAGACAGTGGGTTGCAGGAAGTTTCACCAAGACTGGCCCAAGGTGAAGTGGATCAATCAGTCTCATGACAAGATGAGGGTGCTCCAGTAAGACCATAGGGCCAGTCACTGGGAATAGGGGACAAGAAGACCTTGCCACCTGAGAAGGTGGGAGAGTAACCCCTGAGTATGATGAAGGTGGTGTAGGAGGATTGCTGCCTCAGCCAGAGGAGTAGGAGCAGGAAGGACTGGGGTGCCAAAGGGGCCAAAGAGACAAGGGTGGATGGAGAGGCCAAACCCCTGTAAGGAGGGAGGCAATGGTGAAGTTGACACCATGGCACAAAGATATATATACACCTCTCCATCATAGTGAATGAGTGGATCTGGAATCCACTCTATTCTTAACTAAACTATACTCTACTGTAATGTATACTTAGTTGTTCCATCACATAGTGCAATCACAGGCCATTGCTACTAATCCAAGCAGGTGTGTTGTATCACTTCTCACTGATGTTGTCTGTAGGCAGTAGTTACTGTGGTCCAGATAATCACCCCTCCGAAGGCAGTACTCATACTGCGGTCCAGACTGTCAGCGGTCATGTGCCTGAAACCTGAAATCTGTAATAGTGTCGATACTATTACTGATCCTGTCGAGTTATGCGACAACACTAGTGGTATTGCGATTCTTGGTGAAATATGTGATAGAGCCATCTCTATCACTTTTCTTGCTCAAATCTGTGATTGTAGTAATGCTATTGCAGGTTTTGACTAACTGCTGTGGACACTCCATTCAGAGGTAGCTCAGCACAATCAATATCAATACATGGGTGTGGTAACACCAAGGTCTGGTGTGAATATCTTGTTGGTAATGTGATTGGTGGCATCAACACAAGTGTCCAGTGTGTCAACTATTGCTTGAGGTGATCCCCAGACTGCAGTGGACTACTGCCTTCAGTTCTATCTTAATCTGGACTGCTGGTTTGCTATGAACTGCCTTTGGACATCAGTGAGTGGTGATACAACACATGCACTATGATGAGGAGCAATCTATTGATTACTACTTGCTGACTGTAACTAATGTATACTTGTGCTTGAAGTGGTAACTAGTTAATATGGTGTAGAGTGGATGAGGATCCACTCGACCACTTATGGCGAGAAGGTATGGTTATATACCTCTTCACAGCATCGCCAGTGACACTGCTCCGGCTCTCTCTCTCTCCAGAGAGTACCCTCTTCGTCGAGTACTACACAGGGATCCCTGTAGCACCACTCCTAACCTTCTTGAACTGTGTGTCGACTCCTTTGACACTGCTCCTCCTCCTCATGACCTGCTTGCCAGTGTCCTTGACACATCTCTTCTTCCTTCAACCAGCAATGGTTCTCTTGACTCCTATCTTGTGAACCCCTGAGTGGTAACTGTCTGCATGCTTCTGAGCTTGGTCCCCGTCTTGGCAGTGCTTGATCCTCCTCATATGCGAGCTTGGTCCTCCTTGCATGTGAATCATCATACGAACATTCTTATCACTGATCTCTGCAGAATCTGCCATATGATCATGCTTACTGCAGATTCTGGCAGAATTTGTGATATCAATGTCACTTGTGCAGATCTCAATGAGATCTGTCATAGAACCATTCCTACTACAGATCTCAATGAATTCTGCTGCAAATCCCACAATCTGCCTGATCCCTCGATTCCTGCACTCCCTTCATATGAACTAATGGGTCTTCCTGCTTCCTGCACATTCAGGCCCATGACATTACCCCCCTCTTAAGAGCCGAGCTCCGTCGAGGCAGGCCCTGCGCCATGTCTGGGCTATACCACCATCTCTTTCTCTTCACCATCTAGTTCCTTATCCAGAGATGGTTTCTTCACCTTACCAGACCTGGTCCAGGACCGCTGCAGCTGCATCTCCTCCTGAGATGGTCGCAACTTCCTCTCAACATCGTCAAATTGTGCTCCAGGTACGTCCTAGGGGAAATCCAGCTGCCAGAGCCAACTCCCCTACTTCCCCCATTCTGGCCTGTGTGGCCAACCCTCTTGCCTCTCCAGTGGCGAGCAAGCCACTGGAGCCTCTTTTCCTGGGGATGGATGACGACGCCAACATCCCCACTCCCCTTCCTTCCCCCTTCCTGGCCCCCATTCCCAACCCCATGGGGAGCGACTATTCTCCAGCCTCCCTGGAGATCAACATGTATGAGGTGGATGCAAGACATCCCATGATGGAGTTGATGACTCCAGAACATCAAGCAGCATGGGAGGCTGAGCTGGCTCGCTCTCCTACTCCTCCTCCTACGGCCAACGAGGTCATCGACATGGTCTTGGACACCCATCAACTGGGCATCCCTGTTTACCGGCTGGAGGTTCATCCATTAACACCCCCTCCTTGCTGGGTAGAGCATCAAACTCCTCCCCCTCCCCCTCCTGACTGACACCTACTGACAAATGGAGAAATTGCCAGTTGGTCCAAGAGGTTCTTTGTTGCTGAGCTCATGGCTCAGATCACTGACAGGTACTTTCCTTTGGACTGGGATGTGCCTGCTGGATCCTTGCCCAAGCATCATCTGCACCAGTTGGTCATGCTGCACCTCACTGAGGGTTGCATGCCCTGGCCCAGTTGGCAGTGCTGCCAGTGCTTCAACCTGGGTACTCTGTAAGTTCATCTTCCTCATGCTCTTCCAAATCTTCTGATACTGACCCTTCTTTTGCCTTTCTCAGCTGTTTTGCCTCAGCCTTCACCAACCCATTTGGTGAACACCACAGGGTCCCTTGCACCTGCACCCATTGCTACTTGGCTGGCTTGGGTTGCTGTGAACATACGATTCCTGCCCATCCAGGCATGGAGTACCCTGGCGACAGGACTCCGAACATGCAGCCACGGGGCTCGCATCAGGCTGAGCGAGTGTCATGGGCCGGAATGCGCAGGAAGCAGGAAGACCTGTTAGTTCATATGAAGGGAGCACAGGAATTGAGGGATTGGGCAGATCATGGGATTTGTAGCAGAATTCATTGAGATCTGTAGTAGGAACAGTTCTATGACAGATCTCACCAAGATCTGCATGAGCAATGTTGATATCACGAATTCTGCCAGAATCTGTAGTAAGCATGATCATATGGCAGATTCCATGGAGATCAGTAACAAGGATGTTCGTATGATGAATTTACATGTGAGGAGGACCAAGCTCACATGCGAGGAGGACCAAGCTCACATGTGAGGAGGACCAAGCTCACATGCGAGGAGGACCAAGCTCACATGTGAGGAGGACCAAGCTCACATGCGAGGAGGACCAAGCTCACATGCGAGGAGGGCCAAGCGCTGCCAAGACGGGGACCAAGCTTGGAAGCATGCAGGCAGTTACCACTCAGGGGTTCACAAGATAGGAGTCAAGAGGACTGTTGCTGGTTGAAGGAAGAAGAGCTGTGTCGAAGACACCAGAAAGCAGGTCAGGAGGAGGAGGAGCAGTGTTGAAGGAGTTGACACACAGATCAGGAAGGACAGGAGCGGTGCTACAGGGGCCACTGTATAGTACTCGACAAAGAGGGTACTCCCTGGAGAGGGAGAACCGGAGCAGTGTCACAGGTGACACTACAAAGGATGTATATAAGCATACCTTCTCGTCATAAGTGGTCAAGTGGATCTTCATCCACTCTACACCATATAACTAGTATTACTTCAGAAGCATAAGTATTCATTAGTTCAGTCAGCATAGTTGCAATCAAGTAGATTGCCTCTCATTGTAGCATGTGTGTTGTATCACTGCTCACTGACATCCAAAGGTGGTTCATAGCAAACCAGCAGTCCAGATTAAGATAGAACCGAAGGCAGTAGTCCACTGTGGTCTGGGGATCACCTCAAGCAATAGTTGACACACTGGACACTTGTGTTGATGCCACCAATCACATTACCAACAAGATATTCACACCAGACCTTGGTGTTACCACACCCATGTATTGATATTGATTGTGCCGAGCTACCTCTGAATGGAGTGTCCACAGCAGTTAGTCAAAACCTGCAATAGCATTACTATGTCATGGGCCTGAATGCTCAGGAAGCAGGAGGGTCGCTGGTTCATATGGAAGGAGCACAGGAAGAGATCTAGTCGATACCAGTAGAGAGCATGGTCGTAGTGCAGTCTCCATGGAGACCATGGACTCCTATGGACTCACATGCAAAGGAGCACTGAGCCATATGCGAGGAAGGTCAGGCACAGCCATGAGGAGGACCAAGCTCAAGGGCCAGGCACAGCCATGAAGAGGACCAAGCTCAAGGAGCATGCAGATGGTTACCACTCAGGGGGCTCGAGAGACAAGAGTCAAAGGAACTGTCACCAGTCAAAGGAGAAGGAGCAGTGTATAGGGAACTGGCAAGCAGGTCCTGAGGAGGAGGAGCAGTGTCGAAGGAGTCGACACCACTCAGGAGGCACAAGGGTGCCAAACAAGCAGCAGGATAGCAAGGAGGAGGAGCAGTGTCGAAGGAGTCGACACAGCTCAAGAGACACAGGGGTGCCAAGCAAGCAGGAGAGGCCCCCTGAACAGTACTCGATGAAGAAGGTACTCTCTGGAGAGAGAGCAGGAGCAGCATTGCTGGTGATGCTGTGAAGAGGTATATAACCATACCTTCTCATCATCAAAGGTCGAGTGGATCCTCATCCACTCTACACACAACCATCATAACTAGTTATCACTTCAGCATCAGTATATATTAGTTTCAGTCAGCATAGCAGCAATCTATCAAGGTTGCTCCTCATTGTAGTGTGTGTGTTGTATCACCACTACCTGACATCCGAAGGCGCCCCATAGCAGGTTAGCAGTCTGGATCAAGATAGAACCGAAGGCAGTAGTCCACTGCAGTCCAGGGATCACCTCAAGCATCAGTCAACACACTGGACACTCATGTTGATGCCACCAACCTTATCACCAACACCATCAACCTCATCATCATCAACACTCACACCAGACCTTGGTGTCATCATAACCTATGCATCGATATTGATCATGCTGAGCTACCCCTGAACAGAGTGTCCACAGAGGTCAGCTGAAACCTATGATAGTATATACAATGAATGCCACCCACTGTCACTGCACAACTTGATAGTCACCAAATGACTAGCTCGTCAAGACAGATACTGAGACAATAACTGTCACACAGTTTGATAGTCACCGAGTATCTCGACAGACCGACCTGGGTTTCAGGCGCGAGACCCCTGACATACTACAATCACAGATTTGAGCAAGAAAAGTGATAGAGATGGCTCTATCACATATTTCACCAAGAATCGCAATACCACTAGTGTTGTCGCATAACTCGACAGGATCGGTAATAGTATCGACACTATTACAGACCTCAGGTTTCAGGCACGTGACCGCTGACACTACTGTTCCCAATGGACTTCACTGTAAGATCATGCTCATACCAATTATGACAACTTCTGTTGTAGGATCTTGATACTACCAATCTTGTTGAACTCTGTTGGAACTCTTCATTTGCCCGATCCTACGATTCCTGCACATGGTCTCTCCTCCTATAGGGGGTATCAAAGTTTTTGCGTTTTTAAAAACGCGGGTTTTTTGAAGAGTGCGTTTTTCAAAAAAAACGCAAAAGCTTACATAAGCTGCACAAAGAAAAAAAAACCGCATTTTTTAAAAACACAGGTCAGGAGACAGTATTGTGAAAACACAGAAGGGTTATCACTCCACATCTTCTCTCCTCTCCTCACTCTTGTTGCTCTTTTGCTCACACCCTCTTCCTTGCACTCTTTCAACATGACCTCCTCCACTGATGATTCTTGTGACATCTCTGCAGAGTTGTTATGCCAGTCCACTACACCTACAAGCTCTGCAACTCAGACCGAAAGTGTGCCTGTGCTGTCTCAATCTGGTTCTACAAGTGCTCCTGACATCCACACTTCCTGTCCAACTCAAGCCTCTAGATCTGCCACAGGCAAGAAGAACTTGACATGGTTGGGTGCCAATGTTCTTCACCTTGTCACAATCCTCTACAACAGTAAGTCCTACCACCATGCTCTGCTGCCATCTCAAGAATCAGCTGAGAACAATCCAGCCCTCAAACTTTGCAAACATCCCATTTTTTGGGAGATCTCCAAGTTGATTTTCCCAGGTGCATCTGTCAAGTCCAATCACATCAAGGCCAAGCTGAGGTGGCTGCTAGAGACATACTACAGGGAGAAGAAGAAGCTTTCACTCACTGGAGCTGGTATGCTGCTGGAGGACATGGTTGCATCCAACCTGGTAAGTTTTTGTGATCTTCCTTGCTTGCAATGGTATGCTTGAATGCTGATTCAGTATCAGGCTGTACTTTCAAATGGTCCTACATATCTCACATTGCCCTGTAAACAAAGTATGCTTGGTTTGAAAAGATGCATGAGATGATGAATGGCCAATTCTATGCTGATCCTGCAGCACTTATCACAACTCCCAGTCTCAACTTCACCAGCAATGACAAGGCTGACATGCCTTCCTACAGCTCAGCTGACATACCCATGGATATTTCTGGCAGTGAGCTGTATGATCATGGCACTCAATTTGCCTCCTATTCTCAACTTGATGAATCCCACCAACCCCCCCCCCCCCCCCCCCCCCCAGCTGCTGTTGCATCCATTGCTGGTGCTGGTGATGATGACATCTTTACCACACCTTTGCCTTCACCTTTGCAGGCTTGACCCTCTTCCTCCACTGCTGGTGGCTTGGATGTCTTTGATTCCACCTCTTCTCACTCTTCAGCCCAGCTCTCTCCTGGCACCAAGCACAAGCAAGGTGCCCTTGATCACAAGTGCAACACACTTGCTGAAGCTTTCTATTGTTCTTCCATTAATACCCTTCAGATCTGCCTGCAGCTTGAACAGGAATGCACCAGATGCAAGAGAATACTGGAGGCTGAGCATACCAAGCATGAGGAGATGTGCATGCAGCACAAGAGAGAGGAGAAAGAGCATGACAAACATGTTCATGCACATGATTGTGACATGGTGATGGAGATGGTGTGCCTCCTTGCTTCTCAGGCCAGTGGTGAACAGGATGCTCATCAGAACACCAGCAACAACAACAACACAGACTCATCATTCAATGTTCCTGCCCTGTAGCTTTACATGTACCATCATCTGGTCTCAATGCAAAGTCATATCTGAATGTTTTTCTGAATGTTTTTCTGAATGTTTTTCTGTAGAGTGCAAGTATGAGGTGAATAAAAATGATGTGCAGTGCAGTCATGTAATGAGCTCCAAAGCATTTAAACAAAAAAAATTACTTTCACACCTCTTCCGTTACTACCACCACTACACTCTGCAACCTTTCAGCATTGCTCTCGTTGCCATCCTGTGCCGCATCACGCTCGTCTTGGTCTCTCGGCCGGGATGTTCATGGCTGCGTCACGCTCACCTTGCTCTCATGGCCGAGATGTTCGTGGCTGCGACAAGATATCTCTCGTGTCTTTGTCAGTCTCTTTAGCTTCAGGAATACCATCGATTCACAACCTCATCATACAACTGCGCCGCAGCACACATCCCCCCTCTTCATCCTTCCTCTCCATGCTCCCTCTCCATCCCCCTTCCTCCTTCCAGCCATGGTGTGCTACAGTGACAAGCAAGTAATTCTCAACAACATTGTCCACACTCTTGAGCTCTCTATACCTGCAGAGGTCATCCAAAATGCCAACAGAGTGCAGCACTCCTGCAGCACTGACATTGATGACTTGGACAACAATGGCAACCCACTTCTGCTCTCACAACACCTTGTCTGCTTGTACACTTTCATATGCAAGCAAAGGTACATGATCACATGTTACAATCCTCTTGGCTGTGCCAATAAGCTTATCCACCTTCTCAACAGGTATGAATCAAGCAATCTGTCATAGGCCTGGGTGCGCAGAGCGAAGGAAGACCGAAGTTCATATGAAGGTAGCACAGGAATTGAGGAATTGGGCAGATCATGGGATTTCCAGAAGAATTCAGCAAGTTCAGTAATAGACACAGTTCTATGACAGATCTCATCAAATCCTGCATGAACGAAGTTGTTATCATGATTTCCACCGAAATCTGTAGCAAGCACAATCATATGGCAGATTCCGCAGAGATCAGTGACAAGGATGTCCATATGATGATTTGCATGCAGGCTGGGGCTAAGTGCACATACAGAGGGGACCAAGCTCCACTGGGCTGAGGACCAAGCCTTGCCAAGAGGGGGACTGAGCTCAGCAGCACACAATTGGTTACCACTCAGGGGCACACATGATAAGGGTAAAGGAGGACCATCACTGGTCAAAGGAAGGAGAGCAGTGTAAAGGACACCAGCGAGAAGGACATGAGGAGGAGGAGCAGTGCCAATGGAGTTGACACAGCTCAGGAAGGACAGACAGGATAGTTCAAGGAGGAGGAGGAGTCTTATTGAAGACTCCTGTATAGTACTCGACACAGAAGGTACTCTCTGGAGAGAGAGCAGGAGCAGTGTTGCTGGCGATGCTGCGAAGAGGTATAAAACCATACCTTCTCATCACAAATGGTCAAGTGGATCCCCATCCACTCTACACACACCATATAAACTAATTATCACTTTAAGCACAAGTATACATTAGTTCCAGTCAGCAAGTAGTAATCAATAGATTGCTTCTCATTGTAGCATGTGTGTTGTATCACTGCACACTGATGTCTGAAGGCAGTTCATAGTGAACCTGCAGTCCGAATAACAATAGAACCGAAGGCAGTCATCCACTGCAGTCTGGGGATCACCTCAAGTGTTAGTCGACACACTGGGCACTGAACTCACCTTCGTCAAGGTACAGGCGAGGCTTCTTCAGGATGTTGCTGCCTGAGGCCCAAACCTTCGAATCCTGAACACTGCCAGGCTGTCCAACAACTGATTCGACAATCTGCAGTGAGTGTGGCAGGATCACCAGTGCTACATTGATGCTGTGGAAGCCTTTGTAGCAGAAGTGCTCTCAACTGAGCACTCCTGGCTTCCAGGCAAGAGGGATGTGTGTGTCATCCACCACAAGCCAGCCCTTACCCCACTCTTCAACCCCAGTTGTATTGTGCACCCAGGCAGCAGCATGTTGTCTCTCTCCCTCTGAAGCAAACTGCATGACCTCATTGTTTAGCTCGAGGAGGCCAGCGACTGTGCGATTGGTGTATCCAACAATGCTCTCAACACTGCAACCACATTGCAAAGCAGCATCACATTCACCACCTCCATTTCCAGAACGGCCAAGTCTGTACAGAGCCACTGAAAGAATCTCTTGCACTTTGTTGAGAGACATCACACCTGAGCTGCTGTAGTTCCACTGGAAAGCCTCTGTTTGCTGGAGTCGGATGGCGAGATTGTTGAATGCTTCAGGTGACATATGAACAAGTCCACGATACATCCTATGATTGCTTGATTTGTACCTGTTGAGAAGGTGGATAAGCTTATTGGCATGGCCAAGAGGAGTGCAATGTGTGATTGTGTACCTTTGCTTGCATATGAAAGTGTACAAGCAGACAAGGTGTCGTGAGAGCATAATTGGGTCACCATCATCGTCCAAGTTGTCAATGTCAGTGCTGCAGGAGTGCTGCACTCTGTTGGTGTTTTGGATGACCTCTGCAGGTATAGAGAGCTCAAGAGTGCAGACAATGTCATTGAGAATTACTTGCTTGTTGCTGTAGTGCACCATGGCTGGAAAGAGGAAGGGAGTTGGAGAGGGAGCATGGAGAGGGGGGATGGAGAGGGGGGATGGCAGCAAGAGTGATGCCGAAAGGTTGCAGAGTGGAGTGGTGGTAGTAATGGAAGAGGTGTGAGAGTGAAAATTTTTGTTTAAATGCTTTTGAGCTCATTATGTGACTGTGCTGTGCATCATTTTTATTCACCTCATACTTGCACTCTACAGAAAAACACTCAGAAATGACTTTGCATTGAGACCAGATGATAGTACATGTAATGCTACAAGACAGGAAGATTGAATGAAGAGTCCGTGTTGTTGTTGTTGCTGGTGTTCTGACAAGCATCCTGTTCAACACTGGCCTGAGAAGCAAGGAGGCACACCATCTCCATCACCATTTCATGATCACATGCGCAAACACATTCATCGCACTCTTTCTCCTCCCTCTTGTGATGCAGGCACATCTCCTCGCACTTGTTACACTCAGCCTCCAGTATTTTCTCATGTCTGGTGCATTCCTGTTCAAGCTGCAGGCAGATCTGAAGGGTATCAATGGAAGAATGATAGAAAGCTTCAGCAAGTGTGTCACGCTTGTGATCAAGGGCACCTTGCTTGTGCTTGGTGCTGGGAGAGAGCTGGGCTGAAGATTGAGAAGAGGTGGAATCAGAGACATCCAAACCACCAGCAGTGGAGGAAGGTGGTCGAGCCTGCAAAGGTGGAGGCAAAGGTGTGTTAAAGATGTCATCATCACCAGCACCAGCAAAGGATGCACCAGAAGTGGATGCAACAGCAGCCAGGGGGTTGGTGGGTTTGATCAAGTTGAGAATAGGAGGCAAACCACGGCCATGAGCACTGTGATCATACAGCTCGCTGCCACAAATATCCATGGGTATGTCAGCTGAGCCATTCGAAGGCATGTCAGGCTTGTCATTGCTGGTGAAGTCGAGACTGGGAGTTGTGATAAGTGCTGTGGGATCAGCATTGAATTGGCCATTCATCATCTCGTGCATCCTTTCAAACCAAGCATACTTTGTTGACAGGGCAATGCGAGATATGTAGGACTGTTTAAAATTGAAAGTATGAATCAGCATCCAAGCATACTATTGCAAGCAACAAAGATCACCAAAACTTACCAGGTTGGATGCATCCATGTCCTCCAGCAGTGTACCAGCTCCAGTGGGTGAAAGCTTCTTCTTCTCCCTGTAGTATGTCTCTAGCAGCCACCTCAGCTTGGCCTTGATGTGATTGGGATCGACAGATGCACCTGGGAAAATCATCTTGGAGATATCCCGAAAAATGGGATGTTTGCAAAGTTTGAGGGCTGGATCGCTCTCAGCCGATTCTCAAGATGGCAGCAGAGTGTGCTGGTAGGAGTCATTGTTGTAGAGGATTGTGACAAGGTGAAGAACATTGGCACCCAACCATGTCAAGTTCTTCTTGCCTGTGGCAGATCTAGAGGCTCGAGTTGGACAGGAAGTGTGGATGTCAGGAGCACTTGTAGAACCAGATTGAGACAGCGCAGGCATGCTTTCGGTCTGAGTTGCAGAGCTTGTAGGTGTAGTGGACTGGCATAACAACTCTGCAGAGATGTCACCAGAATCATCAGTGGAGGAGGTCATGTTGAATGAGTGCAAGGAAGAGGGAGTGAGCAAAAGTGCAACGAGAGTGAGGAGAGGAGAGAAGATGTGGAGTGATAAAAAAACCGTGTTTTCGCAAACACACCTCCTGAGCTGCGTTTTTGAAAACACGGTTTTTTTTTCCCTTTGCGGAGCTTATGTAAGCTTTTGCGTTTTTTTGAAAAACGCGCTCTTGAAAAAACCCGGGTTTTTAAAAACGCAAAAACTTTGATACCCCCTATAGTGTTTTGCTCTTTAGCTTGAACACCGTACTTGGACTCATATCTCCCGATAAGCTTCGTCGTTAAGTGTCACTCTTAATTCCACACAATATAGTATAGTGTTTCTGTCCCAATAGCAGCAGTACTGTGCTTTGACTGATATTGACCGCTGAACGTCGACAACCGTCCTCCTTTTA